ACATTCAATAAACTTGGGTGAGAAAGCCCTTAAGTGATAAAACGAAAACAAATAAGGGTTTCATTCAAATTGTTTTTATTGATTTAATTTTTTTTTTAATGTAGTATCGCTTTTTCTGAATCGATTTCCGCCCACAATAGAGAGACCCTCAGGGTTAGCCAAAATGTGCATGACTGGGATACAACGTCATACATCAACATGGAAACCAAATGGAAGCTAAAACAAACAAATTGATCATTTTTTATTTCTCTCAGTTATCTGCCACAATATTGTATGAATTTGATTTGGTTTTGCGTTTCATTCTTCCGATAACAGATGATACACGTCGAATAAACCGAAAAAGCCATTGAAGTCCTAGTTAATGGCGCATTCCGATATTGTTGGCATCATTATGGTGAAATGTCTCCCTCCCATTTGAACCATGTCTAACTATTTGCATTTTATAACAACTGACCCCGACGAGAGATGGATTGATATCTATTCAAGTCTTTGCAAATAAATTGAACAGAACCGTTGATATAAATCATTTACCGCTTGCTCGTGTCAGACGCACAACTGATTGAGTTAGTTTTCATAATTAAATGCATGGAGCTCGAGTCGTGACCATGGAAAATTTCAGTAGTACGGTGTTGAAGACGAGGGTGGCATTGCATGTAAGGTAAAGATCTTTATCTTAATTTTGCAGGGGCAGGCCACTGCTGTACTATGGAATAGCGTTTAATTTTGAGTTGCAAGAATCGCCCCTCCAGGAGAATCAGCTGTGATTCAACCAGGTCATTTTTATATCATAACCGTATTTTCAGACATTTTTGAGGATAAGGTCATTCAACGTAACAGCTGTCAGAAAGCTGAAAAGGTTTCTACCATTTGATTATGCATTTTGAAGGATAACATTCAATGAGCTTGTGTTTCTGTTTAAAGAATGTACACATGTACATGTGTTGTAGCAAACAGCTACCGAGCATTTTCAATCGATCAAGGAAATAAATATGTTGTCGACCCCTGTGTATTTTTAACTGAATGTTCAGTTTCGAAATACACGTCGAGGAAAGGAAGTATATTCTCGTCATCGATCGACTTCGTTTGGTTTGACGACGCTGCATGTAATTATTTCAGTTCATGTCTGGCAGAGAAAATATTCTAACTTAAGCTAGATGCATCTACAGATTGCATATCTTTACAATGTCAAAATGTAAACTGAACATGGAGGCTTAAAAGCGACAGTTTAAATTAAAACAGTTTTGACACAAAATAACGCCAACAAATCGATTTTCGTCGCTACAAGAGGATGAATACTCGTGAAAGGAAGAGAACGCTCGCGTTGCCACTCAGTCACGCTTCACAGAACATAGAATATTAGCGCACGCTAATGTGTTTACAACCACTCGAAAATATTACTTCGATCGTCAAAATAAGCCGCTACGCTTTAAGTTTGACAACTAATTTTCCTGTTGAGCAATACCAATGACACTAAAGGAAATGTCATTTCAAGAAGATAATAACTTGGCGAGATCTAGCAGCATAATTGACTTGTTTAAAATTCACCATAGACGAGATGTTATCGAGGAAAGTTTTAGTCACGATTCTCAAGGCTCGCGTGAATCTTTGGCGGGTCAGGGACATATTACGCTACTAATTCACTGTGACTTAGTTTGGATCATCGAAAATTTCAATGCACAGTTAAGGAAAGCAATTATTCGTAAAAAATCTGACCGAGTGGCTCCCCAGAAAGAAACATAAATATTCGTACTTAAAGCTAATCGAGCAAGTATCGTCTAACAACCCGGCGTGACACTTACCCGTTTGAGGTCGTGTCACTCGTGGATGGGGCTTCAGTGGCTTGAAGTATATGCTCATCTACCCACAAATACAGGTCAACAGTCTGCTTTACCACATCTTTATTAAAGCCAGTCGCATTGGCGATGTACCACAACGTGGTCGAATTATGGCGAAGTACGTAAAGAACCTCTGCTAGCGTGTAGTTTCCGGAGAACATTTGTGGAAAAGACAGGTAACACGACAAAATTATCTGTCCGAGAACGTCTGCAGAAATGCCGGCCATTTTGAATACATCCAGCCCGTGTCAATCAGTTGATGAAAGTTTGAAAACCGGTGAATGAAATCAGCGAAGTTAACAAAGCATGTTATGCGCTTTGACAAGGTTCGTTGAGTTAGCTTAGCTTGCGTGGAGCGAGATAGATCGAACTATTTGATTGGCAGAAATATCGCGTTATGTCATAGGCTTAAAGTCTCGACACAAACATTTGTCATTAGCCAAATTGAGTCAAAGGCGAAAGAAATTAAGGCCTGCCTTCCAAACTCTATCTATCGAGATAAAAATTATACGACTTTAACGATTATTTCTAACTTTTTGAAACAGGAATTTGAAGATCCCTGAAGAGCTACGGGTATCACGCAACTTCAGATTAAATTTTGGTGAAATGTCTGATTCAATTTTAGCCTGTGTACAGCCGCCCCATCCCCTCAAAAAATTCTGGAAGGGGCCCCCTTCCCGATGTTTTGGAGGGGATGGGGCGATTGTACACAGGCTAATTTAATTTTAGAGGGATTTTATCAGCTAGCTTTATTTTCTTAGGCTCAAGTAAAGAAGAATAAAAACTATAACCACAACGACTCGCAGGTCATAGCCTCTTCATATGGTTGTCCAAAAGTGATGACATTCCGATCGATTCCGTTGGTAGGATAACTGCGATCACTTGTGACGCTAGCTAGAAACCCACTCCTTTAAGAAAATGATTTTTAACAGTTCTTGAGCTAAGATCTTTCCGCACATTCTGATATGGTCATAAGGAAAATAATTTAAGGAGGCTGGATATAGTTTCTTTGGCGCGCGCAGACTAGGTTCTAATTTACCGGTGACTTTTAAAAGTTGAAAAAAAAAAAAAAAAACACAAACAAACAAACATGGCCACCGCGCTTAGACCAGAATCATTTTTTCATCTGCCTAGTAGACTATGTTTTACACCTCTAGGTAGGCTGCACAGTTTCCTCTAACTTTATTAGTAGTGTGTTTCAAAAACGGAAAGCTACAACACTCTCAAGTGACCAAAATACGCGTGAATCCGGCCGCAAACACGATCACGATCTTCGGAGCTATTTTCCCGTATCGTGGCTGGTTTCCGGAACACTAAATATGTGCTACCTATCTGCAATATCAGCAGCTACGCTTCTCGTGTAAACAAGTCACTGTCAAAGCTGTGGATGGTGAGAGAACTTTGCTCAAAGAGAATGTTCCAGTACACTCCTGAGCGAATGTCTTCAATCATTTACCACTTTCCTTTGTAGCAGTACGCATTGTCACACCGTTTTCATCGGCCATAATTCTTCTGTGTTCGACACTCCTACGATGTGCTGGAAATTCAAAGTAAAGAAACATTATCGGTCGAAGAAAGTGTTTTTCTAGCCATAAACTCATCAAAACACTCGCCAAAGGTGGTAACACTCTTCTCAATCCTGACGGAAAACCATATAAAAAAAACAATCTCCCTTCTGTGTATTAAGCTGTTTTTTATGAAGATTTCAACGCACACGATGCTTTGGAAGATGTACGTGCCCTCCACTGTGTCCTCTTTCAATCCCCGTAGCAGCTAACAAGCGCTGACATTGTAAACAACAGCAATGTGAAATCCCCCTCCTTCGCTTTCGAAGACATGGGATTTCTTGACGGACGCCACGAACGCATGCAAACTTTCAAAGACAAGCTCTATTCACATGGCGATAACGGACTCCTCGTCAAAGAAAACATCATTCAGAAAATTGCAAAACGCGGTCTGTATCACGATGACTCAAAAGATCTTTACAACAACGGTGGGAAGGAAGCACTGGTCTCCATTTTTAGCAAATCGCCGACCACATCTCATCGATCAGCTCCAAGAGGAACAAAACATCCCGACACTGCACAAAATAATCCAGCACTTTGAAGGCAAATAGAACAGCAGCCATTTCCGGTCGCAATCCATCCAGAAGGTAAACCTCTCTTAGCAAAATAAAGCTCTTTAGAAGAGCACGAAGGACGTTCGGCGAACAAGACGTCCAAACCCTCGTGGCGCCGTGGCAAATGTCGTGGCGTGATACAAATGTTGCGCATGCGCAATTACCCATCTTGTCCAGTCGAAATTTTCGGAAATTTGAAACTATAGACTTACGTATTTCCGTTTCCGCTCGGTGAATTTTTTTTATTTTTTACATGTTAACTTTGAACGGCTCTGTGCGTGTTTTACAAAAATTCGAAAAAATTCCGTCAGAGGGAAAAAAAGTTAACGATGAATTCTAAAAAAGGCCTCTTTTCCTTAAACTTTCTGACAGAATTTTTTTAAACTTAACAGTTAAGTAGACCAAGAAAGTCAATAGACGCATGCAGAATCTAAAATAAATTCACCGTCCAGTTTTAAAGAAAATTCAAGTCAAGTCCAATTTTGGACCCAGCAACGTTGCAACGTTTGCAAGCCAGCAACGTTGCGATGGCAAAGAATTTTTCACAACAATTCAAAACAAACTGATTCTTCAATAATATCTTTATTTCAGGGGAAAATGTGATCGCGATTCGTTAAAGCTAAGCTTCGTAATTTTAGTTGAAATTTCTTGCATCAGAAAAGCGAAAGCTATATCCAGCCTCCTTAACGCCACAGACACCATAGAATTTAATATTGCTCCTACCTCGAGACTGAATTTTTTTTTTTTTTTTTTTCAAGTAAAGAAACTGATTTCGGCTTGAAACTCTGAAAAAATACTTGTTGCCATACGAGTTGAAATTTTTTTCCAGGAAACTCCAATTAAACAGTCAACCGAAAAACAATGTTCTTAAATCCTTATTTGTAAACAAGCTTTTGTCAGCGCAGGAAACTAATAAAAGCACACATTATTAAAACCACGAGTTGTAATTGAAAAAAAATGTTGTCATAGTGATATAAAGCACCTTTATAACAATAAATGCAAGTTAAAGACAACAGTATACAACTGGAGGGAAATCTGCGCTAGCTTTTTATCATTACCCGTTTATATTTATTTGTCTTAGCTTTATCCTAGCACAGCAAGTTTTATCCTAAGTTTTCATCTTTATTTCTTTCTACGATATGTTCGATTGGACTCATTAGTTGTTAATGTTGCCTAATGTACTGTCAGTTAACGAAAGCTACGGCTGCTTTGATCACTGTGCACAAATATACAAACATGCACGATATCTACTTCTCATTATCTTCTCCAAGTTCACCTAGTTCAATAAGTCCTCTTGTACTGTATTAATTTGAATAGTGCGAAATAAACTTGGCCATGGAGTTTGGAGTCAGTTAAACCAGAAAAACAGTTTTACACTCCAACGTCTTTTGTTGGACTGCTAAGATAGAATTAAAGGCACATCCTTCAGATCAGAGTCAGTGGTGCTAGACTACTAGACTATAGACATAATGGTCAGCTGAATAAAAATTAAGTGTCTCCTAAAAAGAATCACCTTTTGTTCATAAGATTAAAAAAAAAAGAAATTTCACAGTTAAGTCCAGTTGCCGTGGTTTGACCAATTCAAGTTACCGTCTAAATTTGGTTTTTGAACCTCTCTAATTAAACATCGCAACTGATCGCTCGATTAGCACAAGCAAGCGATTCGTACCAGACCCCCTCCCGCGTAGTAAAATTAGCATAATCCCAATCAACAACAGCCCAGCATTGCATACGATTGATTACGCCCTTCCGAAACAAGTTGACCTTCTTCCCGATAACTGTTAGATTTTGTGTTCCAGTTTAGTTCTTTGACCATTCAGTTCGGAAACTTCAGTTAAACCACTAAATGTGTAGTGAATGAGTTGGGTTTTACTCGCTTGGGAAAGGGAAATCACTTTTGAATCGGACTACAAATCGACTTCAAAAGAGCAGGACAAGGGCATAATGGCGAGCAACAGCGAATAATGCTTTCCTTTGTCCTTGGCAAGTGAACAAACTATAAATAATGATTGCGTACATAAAGAGTATTCAGGGTTTTCACTGAGTGTTTTATTAGTTTTGTGACTATTAGGGCATTACGAGAGCTGAAATTTAGACCTTGGAAATTGAGGATCTTGTACCTTTGTATAAGAGTCAAAGAATATTCTATAGGGAGCCCTAAGCATACGTAGACGATCTGAGGTGTAAATATTTTTAAGGGAAATTACGAGTACAGTGTCCATTACCGTTTGTTTAGGTTTAAAAGTTTACTAATCTGATTCAACATGAAGGATAAAAAGTAACACTACGTACGGAGCAACACAATGAGCTCAGATTACTGTAGGGCTCTTCAGAAAATGAGCATTTTCCAGACTCTCTATTTTCCTAACTGAATATACATTTCGTACCAAAACACTGCACATAATCTCAAACTATTTACAACACAGAATCACTATTGCACTTTATTGTAGTGTGCTGTACCGTTATTGGTAAACTAAACATTTCTTTTGCTTATGGCCTATACCCTACTGCTATCAGAGATGGACAAACTTATGGGTTTTTCAAAAGCTCAACCAATATATGTATTATAAAGTTATGAATTGTTTTTGTCCATATGTTTGATCAAACAAATGAATCACTGAATCCCTTGGTGCACCACACCTCTTCCAAGAGTTCTCGGAGGCAACGTGCTGTGGGCCTCTTCTCTGGTGTTTTTTCAAAACAGAGGTTCATAATTTCATGTAGCTTTTGGAGAAAAAAAGAAAACATATGTTCCTCGGTCATTGCGTATCTTTGTTACCATCGAGGCAGTAACTTTTAACTTAAATTCATTTAACTTATCGATGTTTACCTTGGACTGTTCACTAGAGCCATGGCAGTGTCCCAATAGTGTGGCCAACAATTTTCCAAACTTCTCAACATGGCTACCAAAACAACTTTGTTCATCCATAGCATGGTTTGTGAACGCGCTCTCTTCATTCACCGTGGACGCACGAGAGAATCCACCCAAGATTGCTTTGATTGGAGGAATCTGTGAAAAGCAAATGCATGGAGGCAATAACCATAACTTCTCTCCAACCCATTGTTGTGACCGATCTGGTCGGAAAATAATGGAGGGTTACAACGGATTTGACCTTAAACGATGGCTTTATTCCGCCTCAACGACTCGTGGTCTTTAACAACTACAATCAGGCGTTACATGCACCACTGATGGGGAATCTGGGTCCTAATACAATACATCATACACTATAGCTACACCCATAACAATAAAAGTAAATTCTAGAGGCAATAACCATAACTTCTCTCCGACCAAAACAAGCAAATAAATGCCTTATGAAGGAAGCAGAAGTTTAGATGATCGATTTGTAAGCAATCAAAGATATGACATACAGTATTCCGAATCGAAAAAGCGATGCAAGCGAAATGTGCTTTGTTCCCAAGAAATATTTTCGAAAGCTCGAAGGAAATTTTGAGCAAGGAAACTTCGAGGCCTTTCAAAGCGAAGTTTCCTTGAATATCAACTAAAGAACGAGATCATTGTCTATGAAAGAAAAAGTTTGCAGGAGCATTTCTCCTCTGACCGACGCTCGTGATTTCGCTTCGGACTCGCAAAAAATCTCTGTGCTATATATGTGATCTACCGGTCACGTAACACTCTGTAGGCTTATTACCTTACTCGGAAAGTGAGAATGACTGTAGAAGAAACTAGTTCTTTTACCACTTTACTAACCCTAGCGCACTGGCTGATCAGAATGTTACGTGTTGTGATATTGTTATGAAGTACTCCAAGTTCCTGTAGTTCTTCTAATGCACCTAAGACGTCACAGGCTACTGTACAAATTGACTCGAAGTCAATGACAGTTCCTTTCTCACAAATGAAATCTTCCAGGGTTGAACTTGACACAAAGTCGTAACATATCAGGCTTTCGGAAAAAAAAGAAAAGACATCATTCAAAATCCTTTATATTACTTGAAACCAAATGTATGGAGATTTAAATATGTTTGATTATAGAGCACTCATTCATTTATGACTCACAAACTTTTTCCTTGTAGAGCATCAATCTTCGTTTTGCCGTGCTCAATATTCAGGTCGTTAGCTGAGGAAAAAATACCACAGAAAACTCCAGAGTTACAATAAAATACATACCTATGAAGTAAGAAAAAAACCTCCAAAGCGCAAATCCCACCCCCAATTTTCTCCTAGTTGATTCTCTAATAGCAACAAAAGGGAAAAAACATCTTTATGTTGCAGAGAGCTGTGAGGTAATCTGGCATTTTTAAATATTGTGAGAAAAGTGGAGATGGTAATTCTAACAACTGGTAGTTATATTATAAAGGTAAGGTTCACTTACTTTTGGAGTGCCACCGATATTGTAACACATTGGACTGAGGCTTCTTGTCACAAGAAAAGTGCTGTACTATAGCCACTTCCCGAGTCCACTCCTCCTTCATTCCTTTTCCAAAGTACTTTAGCAACACAATATTGAAAGCACCTCCTACCTCACACCAAGCAGTAACATAGCCCTGTAGAGGCGAGAAGTGAAATGGTACATATAATCATTGGTACACGTCATACATGGAAATGGTAAATAGTGACAATGGGAGTACTACTTGTCAAATGTTTGTAAGACACGCAAAATCCTTGCATAAACTTGGTTGATAGGAAATTAATCAGAGCAAGATTTATTAACTTTTTCAGAAAAGTTCAAGAAATTGGCATGAGAAAGGTCTTTTCTAGAGAATCTTTAAAATATGAGACAAAAACGATGTATTCGTCAAAGAAGCCTTGCTCGATTCAAAGACTCTCCATCGATCGAGGGAAATGTTTCTCGGCTCCCACAGGGAGTAAGTGCCAACCAAAGACAAATACGAAACACAAGATTGGTTCTGTTTAGGCTCTTCTTCCATCTTAAGTGGAAATACGGCCAACACAGTGGGAGATTAAGTCTCTTAACTTGATCGTCTCTGGTCTGTAGCCATAAAAGTGTCATTTTGATTTTCACGGAGAAGTACTTACTGTGGATTGTTTTCCAACAGTATCATCCTTGAAGATATTTACTTCTTCAATAAGCTTCAGATTAGCTTGCACAACAACAATCTCGGGCTGCGGCTTTTTCATTTCCCTCACTTTTGGCTTGGGGCTGGAAATGGAAAGGACTTTTGAAAGCAACGTTTTTCCAGACATGTTCGAGGCGTTGGACGATCGATCTTCAAAAGAAAAAGAATAGGGTACTGTCCATGAATAAAGTTACGCTTTAAGATAGAAGAATGAAAAGGATCTTATGGTAACTGGGACACAACGTCATTCATACTGTGAGTTTCAAAACAAGCGTTGTGCCTAATCAATTACTAAATCAACTAGTCTAGTTAGGTCGCCTCTGATGCATCATGGGGTGATTGTTATTAGCCTTCAATTGAAACCGCTTCCTGGCGGTTTTGTCCCACGTTTGTGTTATGTTTTCTCTTAATTTCCTATCTTTGCAGCAATTTGTTGTTCGAGAAGACGATGGGAAATAGTACTCTTAAACTACAGCCGAACAAGATCATTTCTATGTCTTCTTTGAACAATTTAGATGAGTAAAGCATGCAGAATCTGATCACTAAATTATTCTTTAACAGATTTACCCACCTTCAGTACGTCTGTTCAGAGTCTTCATAACAAAACCAGTGACATTTTTCCCCTTATGGCTTAAGCTGCGTTTTGCTCTATCGGTGGAAAACGTGTAAAGGATTGGATTAAGGGAGGAATTGAGAGGAAGAACAAACACTGCAATCCACACGTAGGCAATTTTGTCTGGATCATTGAAATTTCCTGTCAGTGACAAAATGCTGATAATTATTATGGGCATCCAGCAGCAGAAGTCTGTCATCACTATGAAAACAAGTCTCTTTGCCATAGCAGATTCTCTGTTTAAATTCGTCGATCGAACAGCGTGGGTTACACGTTTCACCGTCAGAAACATCGAGAGGTACGCCACCAGGATAAAGGTGAAAGAAATGAAATTCATCCCGATGAAAAAGGAGGTGGAGTATTCCCAACCGGCTGGGGTTCCTTCAGATAGCTGAAGCGGAAGGCAAACCGCTGAACGACTGTAGAAACCAAAATCACCGCTTTTGTCATAAAAATAGTTCAGTCCAGTGATTGGAATCACGGAGATGACTATTCCAAATACCCACACTCCAGTGCAGGTAAATACGGCGGATTTGTACGTCAGGCGACGGAATTTGAACGGGAAGACGATGCAAATGAATCTGTCCATTGTGATGATTGTTAGAATTAGTACAGATACCTCACTGGACAGCATCGAGAGAACTCCAATTATTCGACAACCCCAACCAGACCTCCATTCATGGTCGTGCTTAAAATATTCTCCTTGCCACCTTGCGTCCATAATTGCAATTGCCAACAGATAAACACCCATGAACATGTCGGCAAGCGCTAGATTTTTCAGCAAGAACGAGTGGACCCTGTTCTCTTCTGTATCAACTATCCGCCATAGTATGACAAGCAGATTACCAAAGAAAGCAAGGATTCCCAGAATCCAGATGCAAGTTTGGAGAGTTTTATTTTTCATGAGGTCATCGCAACTTGAGAATTCATTGACTGGGGATTCGCAATCCACTCCTCCAATTGACTTCTTGGCGTAGCAACATAGTATGAAGTGATCCAGTTTCCTGTTAGAATTGTAAAGAGGGAAACTTTGCTTTAATTCCTGTCATTATTCCACATCGATGTCCTGGACAAAACCAATTGCAAGCAATTTAGACTGACGAGGATTGTTAAACAAATGACTCACAAATATCGCAGGTTCTTGAGGTCATTGAACGCATCTGGGGGTACTTTCAGGGTAAGTTCGTTTTTATCCAGGTACCTGAATTTATGAACGAAAAAAGTCAAGAAGAACACTTTCCACCCTGTCCATTACCAAATTTACTGATGCATATGACATTTCTATCAAACTGACTTAGGCTATTATTTATCCATTCAAAAGCGAATTTGTTCATTTCTACTTTTGATCAAATCAATTCTTTTTCCCAAATAATTTTATCCTCGACCTTTTTTAATGATTGAGTTTAAAAATCGTTTCAAGAAAGTATTCATCAACTGCAATAAATCCTTAAAAATACGACTAGGGGCATTTTCCTTTCAAATAAGCTTTAAATTTCGAATTCACAGTTCTTCGAAAGAAAATCATTAACTGACTGATCAAATGCTAACAACGTCTTACAGCAAAGTGCAAACCCTAAGTAGGTAAGTAAGTAATTCACTTTTGCTCAGCAAAGTCAAACACTTACAGATACTCAAGCGACTGCAACCCTTGAAAAGTTTCCTTAGAAACAGTCCTCAGTCTGTTTGTGCTGAGATTTCTGGTGAGTTGTAAGTTGGTAAGATAAGAATAATTAAAAAGAAGCAAGTGTTTTACCAGCGCTTACAACAAAGATAACAACACAAATACTAAAGACCACGACAGCAACAAATTAGAAAAAAAAATTAATGACAAATGCACAAATTAACTCTCAGGTTTTGGACTCTAAGTATGACATTAAAATGCACTCACAAAAGTTTAAGTTTAAGAAGATCTTTGAACATCCCATTTGATACTTCTTTGAGCTTGTTATCTTGTAGGTACCTACAAAGAAACAAGAATGAAACAAACAAACAAAAGAGCAAGATGTTTCTGCTGACTTAGCTTAAGACCAGCACTCTAATAGCCAATCATATATTGCATTGATCGCATTAAGCTTTTTCGATCAAATTTAAAATCAGTTTGTATTGGCTTTATTGAAAACTGAGCGTCTAAGTCTGATCTGAGTGACCTGAGAACCACTCAAATGTACTTACAAATGAGTCATGTTGCTTTTATTCCTAAAAGCACCATATTCCAACCGCTCGATTTGGTTAGAGCGAAGACTCCTGTAACAAAACCAAGAGAAAATATGATTTGGCTGATTATTATAGACTTATAACTATAATATAACAACAAAAACTAATTGGTCTAAAAATGAGTACATACAAAATTTCCAAATTCGAAAGTCCATCGAGCATCTCGCTGAATACAACCCGAAGAAGGTTCCTTCCTAAGTCACTGAAAGAAAGTAGTCAATCCCTTTTATTCACTTAAAAAGAGGTAGATAACTTAATTCTCCCTTACCCGTATTCTCTCTCGAAAATGTTTTTTTCGATCTGAACACATTTGTGTCTTGTAAAGAACGCATAAGAAGTACGAGAATGACATTATTTACACGAAATACTCACAGTACACGTAAATTGGATAATCCTTTGAGGGCCCCAACAGGAAGAGCTCGAAGAAACTTAAAATTAAGTCTCCTGCGACAAATAAGTGAATATATCGATTGTTATAAAATGTATTTTGTGTATCCACGTGATCATCGACGTTTCTCTAGAATCGAGGGCGGAAAAGTTACTCAGTCACTTTGAAAATAATAACTACTTAATGCTTACAGTGTCTTAACGAATGTCAAATTTTGAAAGCTGTCCTCATCCACGTGAAGCAGGGTGTTGAAGCTCACATCACTGACGAAGAGAAAGAAAGAATTGACAACTTTTTTCAAAACAGTGACACAACAGCTTTAAGCTCAGATCAAAGGGATTGAGTTTTAAAAAGAGAAATTTTTTTTTCGTCTTTGTCCAGAAAGTACAGAGACAACGAAAGCTCCTTTCGCCCGAAAACTGTTAGTCAAGGCGTTGTTTAAGGAAATCATATGGTTGTCTTAGCCACTATCTTGATTACTGATCGAAAAATTTTCAATATTCATACAGTCTCTGCAACAAAGTATTGTCCAATCTCAAAAAAAAAAATGTTACATGTTTACTTACATATATTCCAATTTCAAGAGGTTTGCAAAGTCCTCCTCGCGTAATTGGGAGATCCGGTTTTGGCCAAAAAACCTTTTTAAACAAGTAGCAAGAATATCGGTTACTTGGAGAAACACGAGGAAGGAACTGTTAATTTTATTTTTGGAAAAGAGAAGATGATAAAACGAAAAGTGAGGGTTAAAGAACCCCAAATGTTACATACACTGCTCCGACGTTTGTTGGAAGATCATTCGGTACACTCAGTAAATCTTCTCCTCTCACCAGGATCCTCTTGTCTATTTCTCCACCAAACTCTTCACATCTGCAGCTTGATGGGCATTCTTAGACAGATTGCAAGACACAAGCTCATTGGTTTTGATCGATAAGCACTAGTGATTTAAGATCATCGTTTGCAAGTTAGAAACCGGAGTTAAGCACCGGCCTAATGGGCCACTAGGCTCGTAAACAGACTTTACCTTTTTTGCAAGTTAAAACGAAAACAAGCACCAAGACGCTTGTAGTTCTGGGACAAAAGCCTGAACAAAGACTCAATTAGGTAGCTATTTTTCGAATTAGCTTTGCACAGAAAACGGTACTTACCTAACAAGAAATCTGGTAGTACCCGACAATAAGTCTAATTGATAAATTCACTCGTTAAAACTGCTACAGTCTTACAAAACGTAAGCCCAAACTCATATGGAAAAAATATCTCAAGGATCTTTGTGTACCTTGCTGGAGTGAACAGGACGACTCTAAATCTTCGTTAGCTGAAAAATTGAAAAGTAAATGGCAACATGAAATTATAGCGTGACATATTCATGTAATTACTATATCTTCTTTTTTCAATCAGAACTCTGAAAGAGGGAGAGACCTTAAAAAAATGGTTGATTGCGGGGAAAATTCAATGAGATATAGTGCTTCATACCCGCCGTGGAGTTATAGAAAATCTTGAATCTTGCTGTGTATGAATTGGCAGCGCAACGCAGAGCAATCCTGAGATGATTTGACGAAGAAACCACAATAGGAGGATACAAATAACCGCAGAATCGACCAATCATAGGAGCAGACGTTTCGCTTCCATCAAAAATTTGAAGACTGCAGCCGTCGCACGTGGGATGGTCTGGAAGACGAAAATCTTGGAACTCCAAGCGAATTTTGTTATTGCGCGGAACGGTAATGTACCACGTGCAAGCGATATCATAGGGAACCATGCCGGAATAGGTCGGCGAAAAGATATATCCTGATGGATTGGTTAAGTCCTCATTGCAAGCTGTAAAATAGAAATATATAGAGAGATAGTGTATACTTTACATAAACAGACAGAACAACACAGAATAAAGAAAAAGATCGAACAGATAAAACAGCAAAACCTAGATAAATAAACAGCATAGCAAAGAGTCGATAAGTGTAATAAATCGAATTTTCTGAAGAGTAGCTACAAAGGCAAGTCACGAAGGGCTATTACTTTCTTGAAGAAAGTGATATCTAACATATCAAATGAATGCTTAACTTTGTTCCAAAGGAAATATAAGGGAGGTGATCCTCAGAAAACGTTTAAAAAAGTGATGCAGTCTTCCGTTCTTTGATATTTAAAGCTGATTTTATCGGCCGCTATAAAAACTATAACAAATCATTTAACAGAGAATCATAATGTGGTAACATTGCAAGGCAAGACACGTATAAGCGAGTTACCCTGTTTTGCGGACAGTGGCCTTAGTTTGCAATTAAGTCCTTCTTCGACATATATTCCTGTTACAGCGATCAAGTCTTTCTTCCTGGTTTTTTGTCCTTTAATCAAAATCTAAAGGAGGAAACGAAATTCGTTTATATGCCTTCAGGTATTGCAGCACTAGAAGAGCAGAACAAAGTTTCGAATCTTATTAGCAATATCATCAGCTGACCAGAAGGAACTAATAGCCTACATCGTTTATTTTGGTACCAATGTAGAAGTAAGTTCCACAGTTTTGATATTACCTTAAACTTCGAAGTAGAGGTCAGCGGTACTTGACCATAAACCCAGTTCCGGCCTGTGTTGCGTTTCCAAGTCCAGATTGGTATTTCACTATAACTTTCCATTTTCTGGAAAATTGTCAACATTTTCTTTCGAGACCCCCGTAGCATGTAGCGAAACCTCAAGCATCTGCTTTTCCCGTCACTTGATCTTTTGTACGTCGGGCTCACAAGAACAGCAGTTCCATTTGGCTTGGAAATGACGGTATCTACCACAAGCCTGTCACCTGGCGGTCATACAAATACTATGTTTAGAAATTGGCGCGTTGATAAAGTAAAGAGATTACTACCAAAACAAAAACCACAACAAAATTTTTTTCTTAACGTTTGGCCTGCAACGATAACAATAATGATGTTTATCAAGGTATGCCTTACGTTTATCATCGTTGCAAGTTGGAAGCGATCGTACTTCCACTTCTCCAATCAGCCCATTTGTAACTTTTCCCCAGTCCATTGCGTTGCCAATCACCTCTCCACAACCGTATGACATGCGCAGTATCTCGTTTTCCGTGACCAATAGACTCCAAATATTAAAGCCACTTAGTCTACCAATTACAGCAGATGCATTTCCACTCTTATTTCTAAACCCAATCGTCACGACTCCTGGTTTCGAAATAAAAGCATTCTTTTTCAGGGTGACTTCGTTTAGACGGCTTAAAATATGCAAATTATGTGAAAGTGACTGAGGTATTTGATCGTAAAGCGTCTTTCTTATTACAGGCCATCCACGCTCTATCTGCAAACTATAGTGGTCGCTATTATCAGACCTAACTCGAGATAGTTCACCTTTAGGCTTAGTTTGTCTACTAAGCTTGAATATCTTTTAGCATCAATTCCTGCGTTGAACCTGTTCACATCCAAGTACAATTCAGAGACAGATCACCATCTGCCAAAACATGAGATCCCCACCCCCACCCCTCTTTTCTCCAGAAAAAAAAGGTTCATACCCTTATTCGGCTTCTGAAGTAGAGGCGTCCAGAAGTCATTTAACTTGAAATTTCTATAACCATCCTTGAAAACTACAAGCTGTCTCACTTTCCCATCCCAGGAGACACACACGTGATGCCAGGTGGAGTCCATCACGTCCATTGAATGCTCGCTGTGCAGAAAGAACGAAATACACTGTTCATACTCACTTTAATACAACTCTCCTTTTTTTCCACTTGATTTCTTAGTCTTATTCAAGTAAAGAATTTCTTTAAGTGGAAAATCTTTAGCTTTTGCAAAGCTATGATTTATCTTGATTTTGACTGGTTGCAACATTTGGTAACTGGCTGACGCCATTTCTTAAGCTTTAAATGAAGCAACAGAGAGAGAGAGAGAGAGAGAGAGAGAGAGAGATGTCTCAATGGACGAGCCACGGTTCTAGGCAGTTAACTTGGCAACAATTGATCATTTTAAGGATTCATCTTTGTCAAGGTAATTACGAAGGTGGTGAGTTAAACACTGACAAGAAAAAACCCTACACCTATTCCTCTTGAATACCTTCTCTTGCCACCGCTTTGAAGGGAAAATGTGTCTCCATAATAGATTTCGAAAACTAGAGCCTCGTTTTCTTCGGCTGATCCCGCAGTTTTATATTCCATAAAGAAGCCTCTATCAGCGGTTTTCAACCAAAAGCAAATGGTGAAACAGCATTCATCCAATACTACATCTGAAACTGATATGTAACCATACTCGCTGTCAGGAAGATGTGCCTCGAAGTTGTTGTCGTCACTGAGACCTAAAACGGAAAAAGCAAAGACGAAAACAGATTAATTCTTATTGTAACTTCATTATTATCCTTTCTTCAATATCCGCTACAAATGCTCAGATATATTTTTTTTTTATTTTGATCAGAACAAACGACATAAAATATAAAATTCTTATCAACGTTTTGAAAATGTAATCACGTACCTTTGTAGACCTCAAGATCCTTTTGTTTGATTCTTTTCCAACCATATACGTTTTTCCATCCACACCAGTCTACTGATTTGTCACAGGGACGGTCGTCTAAAAGGGTGGAAGGTTTTTTTTTTCTTAAACACACATATCAAGAACAAGACACCTTGAAATATCAAATCCTCTTACTAGAAAAATCCAGTGTTGAACGAAAATGCTTGATCGTTTAGCCATAGCCAGTACTAAAAAAAATCTCTTTTAAGGTTCTTCCTTGGAAGCCTCAATATCAATTCCAAGACCTACTTAACTAAAAAATTTTAAGAGTCGCTTTGCATCCTTTTTTATTTCGAGGTTGCAAGGTATTGTGCGCTTCCTAGACCAAACCTAACTAATTGGAATTCGACCGGGAACTGAATGAAAGTTTTTTAGAAAGGTGACACATCCTGCAATTACCTTGACATCCATAAAGTTCTACTCGCATCGATATGTGACTATGCCATTCAACTGGCCGAAAACGGATGAAAGGTGCTGTGATGGGCGGGACAAGCTCATTATAAACAACGGTGTGTTGGTCAACGTTCCCATCAAAAACCTACAGATTTACAATCGTATGAATAATGTCTCAGTTGAAAATTTCGATAATCATAAGAACTAGGGTTCAAGCCGGGTAATATTTTAGTATATCGCTTTGTTGTCAAACATCTTTGCCATCCGAAATCTAAAGTAATCTTACCTCTTTCAACATATCCAGTTTTTATTTTTCCATTTTAACCTATCTTGGCAATTCCTTTTTGTAATCAATATGCCAAAGTGCTGCGAAACTTAACACTGGTTATAGGGCATAATATCTACAGGCTGTAAAGTTCATTGAAAAAAGCATGGCAAAGAAGCTAATCTTAAGATGAATAAAGAAAATTTGAAAGGGAAACTGAAGTTAACATATTTGTGAACACATAAACGTCACCTTATGTGCAGTTTTCGTTTGTTCTTTGTAATATTGAAAATTTACGCCATCTTTACTGTACTGCAGCTTGTATTTCGTCACCCACTGGCTGGCATCAGGTCTTCCTTGAGTGGCTACGCGGGTCACATTGATGTTCTGACTTCGCAGATCAATCTCAAGCCATTGGCTGTAGTTGTTCGAAGCAGCGGACCAGGATCCTCCTTTACTCTTAGTGGCCTTGGAGCCGAGTCTTCCCTGCATAGCGGCATGAGCATCGTTCAGTTGTGAAGAGGAAGTTATTTGTTTGTCAGATATTGCACCACTGCCCACACCGAGAGGATTAGTACATTCTGAGGGTTTTAAGAAATCGATGAAAGTTTACGGTTAAAAATACAACGCGTACCTTCAAATTCCAGGGTGAAAAAGAAAACAAACAAACTAACAAAAAAGCGGGCAGGTACTGTTGTTAAAGAACCTGTGACGTAATCTCGACCGGTAGTTCCAAAAGTTGACAGCAAGCGAGTTAAAGCAAAAAATGAAAGTGCGCAGTAAGAGTTGTGATAGATGGAACAGTGACGAAAAAGGGGGGCTGAAATCTGAAATAATGCGAAAATGATGCAATATGTGAATTCCATTGGTGTATACTAATCACATGTTCTTTGCATTTTTGATTAGTTCAAGGATTTGAAACTCAATTCTTCGTTTACCTTGACATCCATATACCCCTACCCTCATGGCTATGTGGCCAAACCAGTGTTGTGGTTGAAAGCGGATAAAACGTGCGTGGATTGGTGGGTTTAGTTCATGAAAAACGATGGTGTCTCGATCAGAATTTCCAACAAAATCCTAAGTTAAAAAAGTAGAAGAACCGTTAATGGTTTATAAGTGTTCAGCGTTGCAATTGCTTAAATACGTTGAAATCTCTCATTTGGATAATTCTTCCGAAAGGATACAGTTTCCGAAGGTAAGTCACCAGCTTCCTCTTCCTCTCGTGACTATTGATTCTTATGAGCACGAATATTCACTACCATGAAATAGAGCATGTTCTGATTTCGGATTTTTTAGGCACATTATTTGGTTTTTATAATGCAGTTTAATAATAATGATAATGATGTCAGTTTCTATATCGCATTTCCATGCAATGTTCTAATACGCTTTACAACACTGTGCGGGGGACTTTTTCCAGACTGCCAGCTGCAMTTTACAATTAATAAAGAAGAAATTCTACAGATGCCCCCTCCCCCTAATTCCCAATAAACAGGCCAGACCACCTCATAGTAATCTCGTTCTATAACGTCCCCTGCCCAACCAAATTAACTGACAGATGCAGGAGACGGGACCTCCGGCTTTACGTCCTTTTCTTCGTCCCGAGAAAACGAAGCAATGTGAGTGAAGCGTCTTGCTTAAGGACACAACGTCAAGCCCCAGCCAGGACTTGAACCCGGACCGTCTGAACTAGAGTCCAGCGCACTGACCACTGGACTACTCACGCCTCACAGGTTACTGTGATATCCGCGAGGAAATCACCACTTTGTTTGATTTTGCTCTGTCTTTTTTTTGTTTTGTTTTGTTTTTTTTTTGCAATTTTGGGTCTTTGAATAAGAATTAAGGTTGAAAGTTAAGCATTTACGAATGAAATACCAGAGATTGCTGTAGATCCAGCCGGTTATCATATTACCTTATCTGAAAATTTTCCCAGTTCCCTGTAGTATTGAAATTTTTCTCCATCATTGCCATACTGTAACTTGTATTTTGTCACCCAGTGGCTGTCATCATACCTTCCTTGCGTTGCAACTCGCATTACTCTGGTATAATGGCTTCCTAGATCCACTTGCAACCATTGATGTAAATCATTTTTCTCTGCTGACCAAGATCCAGCCTTTTCTGCAGTCATTGGTGCACGGTGTAGCCTAGCTAGGATTGCAATCTGAGAGCTATGTCTTTCCGTAGAGGCACTGATTTGTCCATCTGATATTATACCGTCCTGCATACCGAGAGCTCCTCGACATTCGGATACATTCATAGAAACTATAGAGAGTAAATACAAGTGAGGATCATTTCAAGGAATAGTTACTATATCTAATCGCGTCAGCTAGTACCCTTCGGCTGCATATCAGGCAGATTCGGTTGAACGATAATTCGTATTTTGGAGAAACGCATTCAGGCCAAGTTTCGTGAGGTAAGGCCAAACAAAGTTGATGTGCAAGCACAGTTCATCGATGAGGTAGGATCGATGATGTGTCTACCGAGCCCACATTTATCCCAAAACCCAGTGTTACAACTTGCCATACTGACTGTGTCCACTAGTCAGTCTACATTGTGCTATATATATAGCGCTCTTCGAATAATTTTGTCGTTCGCTATTTCGTCACGACATCTTCTTATCTTAAGTCCAAGCTGCGTTCCTCACCTTTATTACTATATTTGAGGCATCCATAGAGCTCCACCCTCATTGATATATGCTTATGCCAAGATTGTGGGAGAAAGCGGACATAACGAGCTCTGATTGGTGGGTTTAAGTCATTATGAACAACAGTATTGCTGTCGCTGTTTCCACTAAAATTCTAAATGGAGGGAACGTAAATTTTTTTGTTTAAATATCTATCATTGTAAAATAACACACGGTTACATGTCCGTGAAAAAAACTAAAACAAAACAAAACAAAAAAAATCGTATTACCTTTGCCTCTGATTTTCCTAGTTCCTTGAAGAAAGTAAAGTTCTCTCCATCATCACAGAACTGCAGCATGTAATGTGTTACCCACTGCCAGTTCCTGCGCCAGCCGCTACGTCCTTGTGTCGCCACTCCGGTTACTGTAACGAATAGACTTCGAAGATCAATTTGGAGCCATTGGCTTTGATCAACTATCCCAGATGACCAAGCCGATGCTTTCCACAATTCTCCTTCATAGTCCAGCCTTCCTTGCGATGCGACATGGTCACGATCCAGTTGGGAAGAAGCACTCAACTGTGCATCAGGAATAGCTCTATTTTTTAAGCCAAGATCCGTTTGACATTCTTTTTGGTTTATTGAAAATGGAATTGAATAGAGCAAATTAATATCCCAAAACAAAATCTATACTCAAGAAGGAAATAACGAAAGTGAGCAAATGTATGCAAAGGGTAAAAGGTTTTTTGAGTAAAAAGACCTGTATCGGATGCAGACATTGTAAGAAATGGAGAGTCCTGTTTTAAGAAGAATTAACTTCACGTACCATCTGAACAGCCATACAATTCCATTCTCAAAGATATCCAGTTGTGCCAAGTTAAGGGTTGCAGGCGAATATAGCGGGCTTTGATGGCTGGGTTAAGTTTATGATGAACAATGGTGTCACGGTCCATATTTCCAGTAAATTCCTAAAGAAGAAGGACATAAAGTAACATTGTTGATTAGATAATAGTGGGCTGCTCGAAAATACAGAGAATCCCTTAACACGAGAACCAGTGGTAAGGCTTATAGCAGATCAAAATATTACATTCGTCAAAACGTTTCAATTTTTTAATGAGAGGACCAAAAGACCATGAACACCGGTGATAATAACTACCAACTGGCTATTGATTGCTCGTTAACTAAATAGCTGATATAGAGTTTAACGCTTGACCTTTAAGATGGACAATGACATCATCAGCAGATACAAAACGAAAATTACATGAAATTGATTATTGTTTGCCAGACCATGCCTGTACAATAAATATATAATTAATTGCTTTTATATTCACTTTGTCCAAGACTTCCCCTTTTTCCTTGAAGTACTGGAAGCTCTCTCCATTGTTTCCGTAAAGCAGTTTGTAACTGGTTACCCACTCATCGTGCTCTTGCCTGCCTTGCGTTGCAACACCTGTGATTTTAACGTAATGACTTCCCAGATCAACTTGGAACCATTCCCTTGTATTCCTTTTGCCGGCTGACCATCCTCCCTGTTTTTTTCGTGCGGCTTCAAAGCATAATCTTCCCTGGTCTGCGGTAGAATATCCATCCCATTGTGAAGAAGCAAGAATTTGTCCATTCGAAATTGCACCGTCTTCCATTCCCAGGGCTTCATTACACTCTAGTTAGAATAAATCAGATTAATCTAGGAAAAATACCCTATTTATGCTACTTATTATTATTAATCCTTATCAATGAATTACTTTTTAAAATTAACTACTAGTTTTAGGGTAAGCTGTTGTCTTAGTCACCGAGATTTCGTTCACGTGCACGACGGTCACCCAAACAACTATCCTTGAGGCCTAAAACATTTCTTCAGACCAGTAAATAACAGTCTTATAAGACATCAGATGCTTTAAAAACTCCCTTGACAACAGAGATATCATTACTTCCACTATAATTTGAAAAGACACAAAGTCCAACATTGTTTTTCCTGTTTTTTTTTTTTTTTTTGCCAAGTGATACCGAATTTTCCCCATTTAAAAGCGTTTGCGTAGGGAAAAAAGGAATAAAGAAGGAATAGGATTATTTAGGATTAAGTATTATTTACCTTATAATACTCGGTTACATTTTTATAATAGCTTAGTGCTGCCTATATTTGATTATGCTGATTTAGTCTGGGGTGACAAGGACAATGTCACACTAATGAAGGAATTGCAAATTCTGCAAAACAGCTAAGTTGATATTAGATAGATCACTTCACTCCTCATTCACTGATGCATTAACAGTCTTGAGATGGCTAAATCTTGAAGAACGTAGGAAATTTCATCGACGTGTATATGCATACAAGTCTACTAATGGCGAATTTAATCATTCTTTGAACATTGTAAGAAAGAGTGATATGCACTCCTACAATACGCGCAATAACGATACTATAAAGCTCCCCAAAATCAAATACAATTGGGGAAAGCATCGTTCGCGGTATCACTGTTTCAAAGACTTTAATGATTTAGAGAGAAGTGTAAGAAACTCAGTAAGTTTGCCAAGTTTTAAGAAGTGTCTTTTTTCTGCTTTTAATAATAAAGTATTTTTTTTAATTAATTTTTGCAGTGTATATGTTGTAATCATTTTTATATTTCGATTTTAGCTCAAATTTCTATATTTTAATTGTATTTTATATAATACACAACTAGTATTTAGGACCTCTATGTAAACCACTATTGTGATGGAGCTTCCCAATAAAAGATTGTTATTATTATAACAGAACAAAATTTCTGTAAGTAATTGACTTGCCTTTCACATCCTGATACAGTTCAACTCTCATTGAGGCTGCTTCATGCCAAGCCACAGGCCGAAAGCGGATGTAACATGCTTTGATTGGTGGAATAAGCTCGTGAAAAACTACAGCATCCTGGTCAGCGTTTCCAGCAAAGCGCTTTATTAACAAAACATTACGTTATGATAATTGTTGCGTTGTAAATATCAATAATTGGTTCCGCGATGTTAATTAACTTACATCTATTAAGCCCCAAAATAATCACTCGGAGAGATATTACACCGAGCTGATGTTCGTCATAAAAAAAGGCCTTATCAGGGATTTTTATGTAAGGAAAGGTGATTTTAAAAAGTCATGTCTGAAAACAGATAAGCGATTGATCTTGAAGAAATACGCCATTTATTTTTCACGAGCATGTGGAACTGTCTCCGAGAAACACACATTTGACAAATGAATTACATATTACTCTATTTCACAAGCGAAACCTAAAATCAGTAAATGTCTTGCAGAATTTTGCTTACTGAAAAAAGACCTTTTGAATTGTCCCTGAAGTCTTTGATTGAGGTCTAAATACATTTCTCGTGTACCTTTGCTTTGGTTTGTCTTGGTTCTCTGTAGTATTTGAAGCTTACTCCACCGTTGCTGTACTGCAGCAGATATTCCGTTACCCACTGAGCGAAAGGTCCGTTTCTCCCTTGTGTCGCAACACCTGTAACTCTTGTGTTCTTAATATTCAGATCAACCTGAAGCCATGGACTTGAGTCCTTTAAACCAGCGGACCAGGATCCTGCTCTACCTGGGGTTGCTTGAAAGTGAAGTCTTCCTTGGATGGGAGCGTGAAGCTCATCAAGTTGTGAGGATGAGGTGATCTTCTTGTCAAGGATCACACCGTTTTCCATTCCAAGAGGTTTATGCTGTTGCAAATCTAAACATTGCACGGATGAGGAACGATAAAAAACAAAGGTTACAAGTAGGCCCTTGTAAGATGTATTTAGCTACTTTTTCTTTCAAATCAGTAGAAATAAATTCAATATACTTAAGCGCAATGCAAGTTGACTCTGTATCATTCCCCATGGAATGTTTAAATGAAAATTCTTGTTTGCAGTTATACAGGGCAGTAGTACGTCGTAATACAAACGTGGTTTCTCTATCAGCTCTGCTTTTTAGTCGCAAGCCTTTTAATAAACATAAAATACCTCCAATAATGTGGTACAAAGAGGGTGGGCCAGACAATAAGGAAGCCGTCACTGTTTTGTGACATATAGCGTTTACATTGCCATCATTCGAAACACAACAAGCCGAACAATATACACTTGAATTTAGGACAGGAATCGTGATAGAGACTTACCATTCCTTGGGTTGGGAATTCGTTCACAAGAATCTTTAGAAAAGGAGACTTGTCGGAGAAACAGAACCTTCCATTTATTGGTTCCCACTATTTCGATCTACGTAGTAATATGGGATAGCGTCATCATTAATAGCAGATTAGTAACCCTTGAGTGTGATGTTTAAATTTTAACTGAAAAGCTTCTTCAAATTCTTCATCAAATCAATCTGAGATAAAGTGATTAACAGGAAACTTAGAAAGCCTATTAAATATCTGAGGTAACAAAACGGGTGTACTTTTTAAGTACCTGAGCATCTGTACAATTTCCCGGTAACGGTGTTTGGGTGTATGTTGCTCCAGCTGTAGTCTCGTCCGTGAAGAACAGCAAAGTCGTTTGTTTTGATGTTAACATCTTTAGTAGCACCGTTAAGGACGCTCCATACCCGTCATTGCCTCCGATGAAATACCAAAAATGTAAACATTTCCATTCTCTGGTATTTATGTTCGGAGGAGAAAAGAGAGAATGACCCACCTCATATGCTCCACGGCCAAGAAAAATAAAGGAACCACCTTATAAAAGATAGTTATAGAAACGAATAATCAAAATCCATAAATTGTTAAAGACATGCAATGACTGTTCAGCGAATAAATTTCTCCATCAGTAGCCAAAGTCTGGGGGAAAATTAAACCTCTTTCAGTTTGAATTTTTCTTTTTTTCTTCGATTTTTCGATAAAGCAATCGGACATTTTGTTCGTAACGCATTCAACCAGGCATCCATTCAGATAGGCTGTCAACGCCCTTCAACCTTTAACTCGTCAGTGGTACAACTTACGAGTAGCACGAAACTGAGAACATCACTCAGTATGAACGATCTTCAGTTGAGTTTCGTTAATAATTCAGGGCTGGTGAGCAGTGTTATACTTCAATAATTACAAAAAAAATAACTTATAGTGCGCCCTGTAATCAGTCTAAAAAACTGAACAGTTTTACGACTCGCAAAGAAAGTGCGCTCATAGCTATCTATGGCAATTTCTCAATCCTAGCGCACCTTTTGAAAGGGTCCACTTTCCTTTAGCCTCCCAGTCGCATGTGTCTTCTTTGAAATCACAGTTCAGACTCTCTAAAGAACAAAGAGACCGGAAGATGTATTTATGAAAATGTTCCCTATGAATTTTATCTTTTCACCGTGCAACGACCTAGTGCGTATGTATCTCTTCTCCAACTTTCTCTTCCAATTTGGCCTTTCTATTGCACTCGCACTACAAAATGTCCAACGAGGTTAGTGGAAAAACTTGAGTCTTCATTTGGGTCTAATGATTAGTTTTTGCAAGGATTTATCTCAAAAACCGTAAAAATCAAAATCACGGAACGGCACATGAAAATCATAAATTTGCTTTTATATCTAAACTTCATATTAACAAAAATTGCTCAAATGTCAAATAAGATATCTGAAACACGTAATCGTTTCAAAACATGTGTCATTTTTCCAACAAAATAAACATTCATAAACCACTGGGTGATGGATAACTAACTTTGTTAGAGATGTTATTTTACTTACTCTGTGTAATAATTGTCTGGCAGTTTCCATCTAGCAATGTCAGATCATCCAGAGCTATATCACCGCTGCTTCCACCGCCAACTGTTCCTTCAATTATAAACTTGTGGAAAACAATGATGATGACGATACCAATAAAGATAATAATAATGATGATGATGACGACACCAATAAAGATCATAATAATGATGACGAGAAAAGTGATAATGATAATGATAATATAGAATAGTTGTGAGGAACAAAAAAAGGGTTTTGCAGTCGTAACTACTTTGTATTACTAAGTGCAAGAAAACCTACCCTATAGGCATCACGACTGATCAAAGCTGTTTGTCCGAACTTCCATTGGTCCCCCTGATTTCCCGAAAGTGTCCAGACGATTGTTTCTGATAGGTTAGTTTTTAGGTAGATGCTCAGATGACCGATGTCTGAGCCGTACATGTGATACCAAAACTGAATACAAACTTTTTCATTGGGTTCCATCCAGTCACTTAACAGCTTTGCTGCGTCTCCGGGCATTTGAGGAGAGGCTTCGATGTAGATATACGATCCTATCGTAGAATAAAAAAAACATATGTGCTTATTATTCTCTCAAAGTTCAGGTTATGCAAAGAGAATCGCACGAAGAAAAGAGCATCAGGAGTAAATTCTGCATTTTTTTACACTATTTTTACATTATAATGTTTTTACGGAACCTCGAAAAGGCTGACTCTGGAAAATTTTAATTTGCTTGTTTGCCTTAGCAACGCTGCAAAATTACTATCAGAACTATGTTTTTTTTTATAATATGTTGTACATACACAATATACAAACCCCTTCTAATAGTATAACTAGAAACGTAAAACAAAAATGACTGAAAAAGCTCAAAAACTTCATAGATCCAGGTAATGGATAGAAAAAGCGTTTTTCGTAACATCAAATTCCACAGAAATTTCCTACTCGACATAATTATTGATCGTAAGTTAGTTTGTGGTTAGTCATCGTACTGAGCCAATAAAACCTCAGAAACAGAAATACATTCGCTTGTCTCACGATACGATCATTATGCGACAAAGGATTACATTCATCTTTTATAAAGTATAATTCTAAATGTCATTTTAAAAGTTTGAACTAGGTTGAGAAACATGGCAAAAACTAGGCAGAAAAATGAGTCTCGTTAAGGTCTAGTCCTGGACACACTCCTTACCATCCTTGCTAAGCGTGGTGTGATCATAGCTTGGCCCAGTATTCTCTGTTGGCGTTTTGCCCGAAGCTATGGTCCACTGGAATGTGGCATTCCGGTCATATTTCAAATTGCAGAAATTATCGTTGAATCTGCAATAGCCTGTTTGAAAGGAAAGATTAGATAGTACTGAAAGAAAGAAGGATAACAATGCTTGAGATACATATTCATTTCCTCTCTGCATACCCGAGTCGCTTTTCAATATCAAAATTGCAAGGGTACTCAGGGTCATTGTCCACGATGACCTCATTTTTAGACGATCGTTTGCATTTGTAAAATAAACTTTTGAATTTTCGCAATTGTTATTGACTGTTCCAATTTTCCAAAGTTAAGACTTTGAGTGACCACGTATTTGTTTCACCGAGTCGAATCTCCCTTTCTGTATCTTCGCCTTGGCAATTATATAAAGTAATGAGTGAGTATTACAATTACATACGTCTACGTTTCCTCTACACCCGATTTGATTAAGCAAGCCAGACAAATCATTCGCCAAATAAACCAGACACTTTGTCTCCGTATCCTAAACATAAAGGTAGGGTGAGGACATAGAAGAAAATAATTGACGATAAACAAAACGGTCTTCAAGGTGTGGCAGCAATTTAGTAATTAGACATGTATGTTACCTCTAAAGGATGATTTACACTGTGATAACTCTTCCGACGTCTTTGATGTACACGATAAGTCACTGAGAAGGCAATCTCCGGACCCTGCAATGCAAAAATATCAAGTGCAAGACGAGATCGAAGCCCCAGTTAATACTAGTACACTGAGTCTTCTAATCGCTCCTTAGACTGTAAGTTCTAAAGCATACCAGTTTCTTTAAAAGTATCACAATGATTGATTTGATGATTTTTAGATCTTGAAAAATTTCGGTCGAGACTTTCTTGAAACTAACAAGAATTACGCCTAATTAGAATTAGATATAGGCTACTGTGCCCTGCTCACCACATACAGACGGAGTGTTAGTCCCGTCTCCACAGAAAGGTTTTTCCCTGCAGGTATTTGACCAGGAAATGCACGATCCATCAAGACAATGATATTTGGAGGCACATGAACTGCCTGGAAAGCAAATCCTTAATCTTTGAATAACGCAAATGTGAATATTGTGGAGGTATAGTAAAGAAAATGAAACGTTTTTTATAGTCGCTGGCTGCACTTAATGATTGACTCAGCGTTACCGACCAGAGAGATCAGAGACTATCCATTTTCCTGTTAGAATTTACAATTAAAGTAACTAACGTGGTTTCCTTAGCATGGTGCAATTAATATAAAACTTACGGCAATTATTTTCATCATCTCCATCAGAACAATCGTTGTTACCATCGCATACGGCTGTCGCAGGAATACATTTCCCATCCTGGCAAGCAAACTTATTTGAGGGGCAGCCACAGTTATCTTCGTCCGATTCATCCTTACACGCAAAGTCACCGTCGCACGTTAAATCATCTTTGACACATTCACCATTGTTACACTGAAACGTTTTTTTGCCACATTGAAAACCTGAAAACCTCAGCAAAGTTAGCTTTCTGTTTCTTTTTCCTTTCTCATCACTGAAAGGCGATGATGAGATGGAACAAAGGAGAGACACAGTCATATGGGAGAATTTGACAATGAATGCACTATTCCCAGACTGATGAGTTCCAAAAAAATTATAGGTCAGAACTGAACCTTAAATCTGTGCTGCTATTGGTGTGTGAGAGATTTAGCACCATGTTTACTTGAAACGGCAAATTTTAGCTTGCCCTTTCGCCTTTCACGTAAAATAGCGTGAAAAGCTTACTGCTTTAGCTTCGCGTGAGCTCACTTAATGGTGGATTTGAAGGCGCGCTTGTATAACTTAGAAGAAATAATTTTAGTGCCCTTTTTCCGGCGATTGACTTCTCTTGAGCGAGAGAAAAGTGAAGAAAATCTTGCGTGCACGGGAAACGCGAAGCGCATTCGGCAACATAAAAAAATAGCGGGAAAAACAAGGTCACGTGGTCACTCTTGCCGTTCACGTTTGACGTTAACGCGTTGCTAAGTGTCTTTAATAGCAGCCTACTACTTGGCTATTGGCAAACCAAGTGTACGCTTTCAACGTAAGTGGTAAGGATCTTGAAAGATATCCAAATGAACGTGTCGTTCCTTAGTTGAACGTATAGGCAAGAAGAGAGAGAAAGGAAATAAACTAAAAATCACCTGGTTTTGCAAAGTAAGGTAGTAGGACACACTTCTCAGTTGTTATGCTGATGTCATCAATCGCTACATTGACAGGGATCTCCAGAAAACCTTCTCCCTCAAATATTACCTGACACAAGACGAGAAAAAATAGAAAGGGACATAATATAATGTCATCAAACACTAAATAAAATATTTCAAGGTCGTCATGTGCATAGATTTAAACCTACACCCATAAAGGCAAGAGGGGAGAAATTTATTTTATATAGAATGGATGCTTTACTTACCTGAATAGCTACAGAGCTTGGCAAAACCACCTGAGCCACTGACCATCCAGCACCGTGGTATCCAAGTAGCTGCCAAACTAATATTGCCCTTTTTTCTTTATTTTTCCAAAGTAGAACTTTCAAATACGACTTTGATTTAGTTGGCATGAGGTACTTAAACCGTAAGCACAAGCCCACCTTCTCATAAGCTGGTTTCCATAGTAACAACGGACTCTTGAGCTGTCCTCTAGAAGAGCTCCCGATGTAGGCAAAATGACCTGGAGCATTTCATATTCAGTAAATAATAACACAATTGTAGAGAAAATACTAAGCTCCTCAAGTCAATCCTTTCCATAACTTATTTGGAAATTGACAAGGGCTGTTATTAAAAATAATAAAAACATAGAAATCGGCCGTACTTGTTCTATACAACAAGTGGGTAGGCCAAACCAGTCTTCATCGGATACAATGCCGTTCTTACCTTTGGAGAACTTCCAGTTTTCATTGCTTCCAAGGCCAGTCCAGCCTGCACAATTTCCAGACTCAAAATTACATTCTTTTAATGCTACAGCAGCTGTAGGAATTCAAATGATTATTTCAGAAAACGTTAGAATTGTTTATCAGATTACTTCTTATTTTAAAGGTTTAACTGAAAACGGAGACAAGAATAATGGGTCCTTATAAATCCGAGCAGCATATGGTGTTTATGAAAGTGCTTTCGCCCCGTACAAGTAAGCTTTTTTTGCAATTCCTGTTTCTGTGGAAGGAAATCTCAATAATGAAAAACCACAGGCGTCTAAAAAATGATATTAATGATATTCTTGAATTTTGATTTATTCTTGATATCTCTTCATCTTAAATCCATGACCCATCAAGTTGTTTTAAAACCCATTGATCGGTTGATTGGTGGCCAAAATTTTCCCAAATTTTACGTCAGCTCTTTCATAGTTTAAATTCAGTTCCTATTTATTGTTTAGTCTTCGGAATCTTATAAAAACTGACCTTTATATTTATGCTTAACTGATGTAAAAGAGAGGTAGAAAAATAATCGTCAAACTCATAAAACGTAACTACCTTTAAGACAAACATTTCCCAGCACTCTCTCTTCAAGAATTTTCCCCGGGTGCTCCAGAAATGAATAGCTGACCTAATGACGTATTGAGTATTATATTTGATTTCAATGTATCGTTCATCCTTATACTTCAAATAAAATAATCCCTTAAATAGATAAATACTGTTTGCGACTGGTTCAATCTACTCATCAAAATATTCTATTAAATTATTTCGACATTTTTTACCAAAACGTCCGAACCAAATTATTTTAATATCGTTCCAAAACGGATTACAATAAAAGAACAATCATAAGATAGGAAATGAATCTCTACAAAAGGTGCAAAGACCATCTGGAACGTAACCTATTTTGACTGGACGAGAACTGTTGAAAATTGTTTTATTTTGGACTTCTAAATTGGAAACTACTGATAGACATTTTTTAAGAGCCTTAACTTTTCCAAACGCTTTCATTTTGTAACAGCAGAGTCAACTTCTTTTTTTCTAACAAAATCCTACAGACTTTTGCCTTTTTCAAAATAAGCAACTCATAAAATTGTTTACTTTTGCATCTATCAGACTAAAAACAATTTCTCCGCATTGAAACGTAAGAGGACTTTCTCGTTCTCTGTCTCTCACATCCAAATTTCTCAAGTGGGCAGGAATAACAATTCGAATTCCTGACCAGACTAAGAAAATTGTAATTGAATTTAAGGGTTTGCAAGTTTTTGTTTAATAAGTTATTTGTGCATTAGTAGTATTGAAGCAAGGGCAAATTGTCTATAATAGTAGCATATAATAGCTGTAAATCCAAAATGAACAAACCTTCAATGTATAATTTCCCGGCTGTCTGTCTGTGTCAAAGAAAGTCTCAAATGATGTATTTGAACAAGATATGTTTAACGCTGAGTTTATTGTTATACTTTGTCCCAGGGTTGAGAGGTTCAGTTGTAATGAACAATCAGGGCAATGTATGCCGTAACAACAGAAGCTGTGGGTACCTGTGGGTTTAAAACAAAAAAAATGGACGTTTAGAATATAAATTTGATGATTTAAGCCTTCAATTGATATTTCATACCAACTCTGTCGAATGAAATAGGAAAGTTCGACGCGTTTACTTAACCTCTAACATATTTATACCAACCTGAAATGTGTAGTTTTGACCCGACGATAGCAGTTTTCGACGTTTCAAGGCCGTTGAGCGTCACCACCAATTTTCGTGTCCCTGTTTAAGATCCAGAAAACAAACCAAAACAAACCTCAAAAAGTGCAAAACAGAAAAAATAAATAAAGATTGAAAAAAAAAAAAAACAAACAAACAAACCAGAAACTGACAAACAAAAAAAAAAAACTAACACAAACCAAAGCGAAATACCTGGTTTTGTCCAGAATAGTCGTTTCTTAGGAATAGGCCTTTCAAAATCTCCATTCGGCTTGCGCATGCCCACTGACAGATGATCCTTGCCGTATCGATCCCTTCCATACACCTCTAGACGATAAATGCGACATTTTTCAAGGAAGATGGGCTGGGAAGATTGCCCCTCGTACCTTCAAACGACAGGTCATCAAAAGGTTAAGAACAACTCCGTTAGTGTTAAAGTTCAGGAGAATTCGCCTTTTATCCTTCTTATAAGGTGCCTACCTGTCCCATTCAAGATATCTTGTGAGTTTGCTAACAGATGCCATTGGACGTCGGTTCTCTACACTCTCGTCTGATTTGGTGTTATCTTTTTCGATTCCATTTTCTTTGACGTCATACTTCCACAACTCGCACGAATCGTCACACGAAGCGTAGAAGACGTAGCTACCGCTCTGAGGAACCTACATTAGTGAGTGGGTGATTATGATTAATTGTCTAAGGAGCTAAATAATGAAATCCGACAGGATGGACAAAACTTAAAAGAAGTTTTTCATTTCCCTTTTTCTCGAAAAAAGACGAAACAAGGGCTAAATGTGCAGGAGGAACTCAACCTCAAATAAGGGTATGTCATGTTTACCTGTAAGTAAGCTGTCAATCTTTGAGCGTATCTGTCTTCCAAATCGAGAGGAGCATCAAAATCTTGCAGAACTATCCGGCTATCGGGTGGACCTTGAATCAGTGGATGATCGCGCATGATTGATCTACTCCTGGCTTCGTAATTTCTCAGTCTATACCAGGTCTCACGTAGCACTCCCTTTGCCTCGGTAAGCGACTCTATTGTGAATAGACACACTGCAACGTGTTAATTGCTACTTCGGGGAAGAGGGTTGGGGGGGATCTCAGACTGCACAAGGATTTAAATAGAAGACATGGGCTTTCCTTCCTTTGCTTAAAATATTTTTTTTAAAGGATGGGACGAGAGTTCGTTAAAGCTGTAATTATGCCATCTAGGCCGTTTTGCAGTAATCCTATTAAGATGAGCCAAGCATAAATTTCTTGACCCAATCACTTAGTCGTTGACACATACACATAGTTGTTGACACAGACACTGTAGTCGATAACTTTAAAAATAAGCAATGATTCCTGAAAAGCTTCAAATGCGCGGCTTTAGTATTGTAACCTTATGGAGGGCTCCATGTACTAAAGGGCTCCAAGAAGAAATGTAATACATGTACGATTCAACAACATTTTTACAATTTGTTTTTAAAGAAATTTCCAACACCCAAATGGAAAGGGAACTGCCGGAAACTCACCGATAGTTTCCACGACAACTTGGCACAGGACAAGTGTGACATTATCACCCTTCAAAGTTATTTTCACGTAATTTCCTAGCGCTGGTGGTGAGCAGTAAAATTTAAATTGCTGGGTTACTCCATCATATGCCATTGATTTGGAGCAGGTTGGGTCTGTGCCATGTGGATCATTTAATACCCTAACGTTGATAATCCCACTATCACGATGCCAGCAATCAACTTTATTGGTGATTACCACAGAGGTTACGTACAAGTTTTTATCAAGGTTAACTTGCCACCAAGGATCTGACTCCTAATTAAATGAAAAACAAAACAATATAAGTGTCACGTTACAGAAAGCAAGCAAGTAATATGCCAGACAGCAAGACAGTGAAATGTGCCTTGTCACAATTTATGAATCAAATCGAAACATAGACAGTACATGTTTGGCCTCTAATTACCTATGGAAATAATAATAATAATTTCTTACCTTTGCCGAACGAAAGCAGGTGGTATAAGATTTGTCGATGGCCAGAAAAGGCTCATACCGAAACAGAACACTGGAACAATTGGTTTGACTTCGGTTTGACAAAGATGCTTCTGCATGACAAAGAACATCGGCACCATAACATGGAAGATATATATTAAATCATATTTAACTTAAGCAAAGTGAAAACCTTAATATATCAAACGACGAATTAAGAGCTTTCATCGAAATTTGCTACCGTTACAGTGGACTAAGTGTTTAAATCAACTTAACATTTCAATTAAAATTTTCGGCAATTTGAAATTGGTAGGTGCAAGGAAAACGAGGGAATTAGGCGTATCGAGAAAAAAAAATGCATTAAGAAAGGGAAACCACAACTAAAATATATTAACAAGAACCTTCATAGGCTGAAATTAAATTGTAACTATTAAACGTGACCGTAGCAGTTCGAATAGAAGAGGAAACATGCCTCAAAAAGACGTTCAGTAAGGATAAACCGTTTAACAAAGAGAGAGCTTTCAGCTATTAGGTTATCGCCTTTCAAAGCTGAGATGTCATAGCACGAGACGAAAATAAAGCTATGTCCAGTGAAAGTAAAGCAAACTGCTTCCATTTAACTAAAAGAGGAAACGTGGTTGAAAATTATCTTGACTTGGTGAAAAAGGCATTCTACTTTCAAAATATTTATTAGAACTTAACCACTCAGCTTTTGGTCTAAAGCCTTTGAAAACTTAGATGTCATTGCGTGGAAAAGAAATATAAATATGTCAAATGAAAATGTTAAAATGGCATAAAAACAACACCAGATCTTCCCTTTATTTTCCTGTTATTGCCTTCGATACTTTCTTTCTTTCGTATTACTCTAGAGCATTTAGATTATAGGCCCTGTGCTTACTTTCTAAGAAGTGCTTTACCGGAGAATGCCCTTGCCATGCCTAAATATGAATATTACTGCTAAGCATATTGCAATTTACCTGATTTTTTCTGACACAACGGGTATTTATGTGACTTGCAGGCACTATTCTTTATTCGGGATGAATCAGCCGAAAGATAAGCACATCCTAGGCTGTTATCGTCCCTGTTTGGATATCCTGATACCCACAACGATTCATTCAAAGGAGTGCCATCAATCCACGTCCAGTCGTCATATTGGCCCCTCATACCAATGAAATAGTTATTAATATCCCATCGGTAGGCTCTGAATCCTTCTAACATAGCAGAGAAAGCATGTCTTAACCCTTCCCTTGAAATCTTCGCCAGGGTGCCTCCTTCAGATTTGCACCTTTCCAAGGCTTGCTCCCAGTTTACTTTGTTGTAAGTGTCTATGGAAAAGCAACCTCCATGAAATGGAAAAAAGCTGGGGCTGCACCACGAAGTGGACGCTACGACGAAAAAAAATGTTTTGTTTGTTTTACACTTTTATAGAAAATCTAAACGTCAACGGTACAATTGAGAAAATAATTTTATCCCATCAAAATATGTTAGATCCCATTGAAGAGTTAATCTTCAAACACGAACCAGAGATTAAGTGATATCAGTCTCGACATAACCCGTCAAACTACCTTTTTATGTCTTAACTGAGGAATTTGATAAGTTTAGCTCAATAACTTGGTCACAAACCTTGAAAGGCATAGACGCGATTCGCCCAAGTTCCTCCTTTTCCGTCACCTTCGCATCTATCGCTCTTGCCATATCTGTCGAAAGTCTTTTCCGCTGTTGAACTACTGTAACACTCCCCGCCATATTGAACGGCAAACATACGGAAGCCCCTTTGGCGAGCCACTATGGCGCATTTTTCGATAGGGTTCTCGCGATCTTTGTGCCATCCTGACAATAGCGGATCTTTTCTTTCGAGTGATGCAATTGCACGCGAGGAGCGATCTCTGTAGCATCCGACATCAACATAATCTATTTAAAGTGTAGTCAATTCAATTACCACGTATAACCATTGAATAGAGACATCTCTAGACGTGCGCACTATGACAAATGTGAGCTTACAAATGATCAGTAGTCGTTGATAGGCCAAAAAATGAGCAAATGAATAAAGGCTGATAGTTTCGAAAGAAACTGTTTGGTGGGGGTAACGAAATAGTTTGGATATATCAGCAAAGTTGAAATGGTAAATTGGCCACCGTAACGATTACAAAAGCTGACGTTTCGAGCTTTAGCCCTTCTATTCGCTCCGACGAAGGGCTAACGCTCGAAACGTCAGCTTTTGTAATCGCTACGGCGGCCAATTTACCATTTCAACTTTGTTGATATATCCAAAAAAAGAGCAGTTTGTCCATGTACGACCAATTGTTTCAAACAAATAGAAGAAGACTGAAGATTTTCGATTCGACTTTTTGGAGAAAAATCCAAATCAAAAAACATTTTCTGCTCAGACTGGGTTGTGGTTTTTAAATGAAGTTGATAATCTATAATAATCATCTTATATCCAACAAGCACGAGTGGAATAATTATTTTATTTCAAAAACGTCCCCAAGATATTAGACAAATCTTCTCGACTTTATTTTGTAAGAAGAAACCCGATGTTAAAATGTAGAGATATTAACTTATGGTATATTGGCTCATATACTTTAATGACTAAACCAATAAAAAGTCTTGAATTGCATTATCGAATGATCCGTTTTTTATAATTATTGTTGTTGCCGTGTTCTTTGGCAACAAGTTTTAAGCCGCTAAAAAAATTACGTTTCAACCTCTAAAGGTATATTTCGCTAAAAAAGCGCATGGAATGTTATGCCTACATCACTGACTCCCATTTCAATATAGAATATGACCTGGCTCCTGTTGTTACCCATATTTTCAACTGTTCTTTGGAAAACCACATTGTGCCTGATCTTTGGAAATTGGCCGACATAACTCCCTTGCCTAAAGAGCCCAACTTTAAAAGTTGTACACAGTTGCGGCCTATTTCTCTGACTAATGTAATAATGAGGGTTTTTGAACGTCTTGTATACAGACAAGAATTATCTCAATATATGAAGAACTTCATTAGCTTCGACCAGTTTGCATACCGCAAAGGCCACAATACGACAATGGCCTTAATTAAGTGTCAATATGCTTGGCTGAAATGGCTCGAGTCGGGTTTTGATTGTGTTAGAATTTTCTCTTTTGATTTCAGCAAAGCTTTTGATTCGGTCCCTCATGATATCCTCTGCTCTAAGTTGAAAACACTTGACATAAATCCATACGTGACCAATTGGATTTTTAGTTTTTTACAAAACAGGAAACAAAGAGTTGTTGTTGATGCCATTGTTACGGATTATTTAAATATCAATAGGGGTGTCCCTCAGGGGACAGTTTTAGGCCCTATACTATTTTCTATTATGGTCAACGATATTAAGGCCATTCTACCAAATCAGAATTTACTTGTGAAATATGCTGATGATTTAACATTAAGTATTCCAGTAAAATCGCGGGCTAAAAACGGCAATTCAGCAGCTGAGGAGGTCCAATCGATCGTCGCAGGGACATCTGCTAACCGTATGCAACTAAATTTCAAGAAAACGTGGGAGATGCTTCTTAGAGGTAAATCCACTATGGCCTTACCTGCTCCTCTGGTTTCTATAGAGCGTAAACCATGTCTGAAGTTGTTGGGTGTGACTTTTCAATCTGATCCGTGTAACTGGGATTTACATTTTGATAATATTATATCGAAAGCCAGTAGTCGTCTGTACATCTTACGTGTTTGTAAATTCTATGGACTGCCGCTAGATCATCTTCATCTTCTTTTTATCAGTCTTATTCTACCTATATTTACATATGCTGTAGAAGTATGGGGCTGCGCGTATTATCATAAGTATCTGAGTCGCATAGACAGGCTGTTCAAGAGAGCTTTTAAGCTTAGCTACTGTAAAGAGCTTTTTTCGATTGAAAATATTATTATTCTAAAAGATAAGAAGTTGTGGGCCAAGATCACCCACAACGATTTTACAACAGCTTTAGATGACCTTTTGCCACTTGAGCGACCAATGGTTACGCTACGTAAGAGGCGCCATAATTATATTCTCCCGCTTGTCAGAACTGAACATTTCAAGAGGACTTTTGTTAATAGATGTTTGTTCTCTTATTAGTTAGTCAGTTAGTAATTTAGTTAGTTCATTAGTTTTATACTTGTTGAGTTCATATCATTGTAACTAAACACGTTTGTTGTTTAGAATGCTTAATAAAGACTTTTATTATTATTACATGCATTAACAAACCTCGAATGATATAAACATTGTTTGCCCATGATCCTCCTTTTCCATTTGCATTGCATTCCTTACTCTCACCATATCTATTGAAAGTTTGTTCTGCGGTTGCGCTGCTCATGCACTGCCCATTATACTGAACAGCAAACATGGTGAACCCTCTTTTTCGAGCTGCAAGGGCGCACTTTTCAATTGCTCTCGTACGCTCGTCGTATTTCTCGGCAGAGATAGGGTCCGCTCCTTCAAGTGTTGGAATCGCTCGATGACGCTTGTCTGCGAAGCATCCAACACTTCTGTATTCCACTGAAGGTGTAGATACTTCCAAGAAAAAAAAGGCATTATAAAAAAGATTCTTTAGCATCAACTTTATAAAATAGATTAACGGCCAATGACGTCATTGGGTAGGATTTACCGACGTTTTCAGCGATTTGTAATCGGTAAATCGCTTGTTGAGTTTCTGTGGAGTACCTTGCACTGCTGTGCTTTTCGATTTCAACTTGATTTTGAACAGCTCTAGGGGCATCATAACCGACATCTAAATTAAACCTACTTACCAGTTTTATTACACCGCGCTTTAACCTTTATGATTTGATCCACAGATAACGCTTGTTCATAAAACTGCAAGCAAGAAATCTGGCCACGGAATTGCATTTTTCTATTTTTGGAAGCTCCAACAATAACATTTTCATAAGTTGCTAATTCCATTTTAGCTAAAAGAAGTTCTCTTATGACGATGTTCTCGTTGACCCATATAGTTGCTACACCGCTGTAGTATTCATAGGTAAAGCCAATGAAATTCCAAGAGTTTGCTTTTAGAACGCCTTTCTTATGCAGGAGATAACTCTTAGAGGTGTGCCGTTCCTTAAAGATGACTTCAACTCCGAGGGTTGAATGCAACACCGTCATCGAGCAACCGTAATCTATTATTGGACCAGTGCTAGAATTACTAAGATGCACCCAAGCGAATACACTCATAGAAAACCTTGTATCAATTTCTCCGTGATTTTCCAATTCCACATGGCTACTGCTAGTTCCCAAAAACAAGGAGCTATTTGGATTTCCGAAAGGATCCGGTGCCAAGGCGATGTCACTTAACACAGCAATACTGGTTCCCCCAGGACTCAGGTCCACAGTTTTGTTGGTATCACCCACGAAGAAAAGAGCCACAGGAATAGAAACATCTTAAACCAGAAGGAAAATATGGATTATTCAAACACATTCTGAATACTGCGATAAACGTCGTAACGTTTATGAGACATTTTAATATCCTTAAAGCGTAATCAAACATTTCTGAAACAAGATCAACTACAGAATAATCGCTTAAGATGATTAAATTGGATTTTTTGTGAGACAATATCTAAACAAAAGCGAAAACATCACTCAGTGCTGTTATCTTGAAGGGTTACACTGTTTTGGTCTTCGAAAGTATCTCCAATCCATGTGCCATTCAAATAGACACATTGATTAGAAATTGTTATTACAAGTTGTTAAGAAACGTACCTAGTGGCTCCTCACAAATGTATCCCTTACGACTGGTGCAAAGCTCGTCGTTCCAGCCCCATCCATACCCACGCCAAGTTGAATCCCAACCAAGAAATCTCGACAGAGATCCACACTTGCCATCACCATTCGGTTCCGTAGGCTTCCACAAATGTTTTTGTGCGTTTGAAACCTTTTCGCCGTCTAACCAAGTCCAGCGTAACTTGCTCTCTAGCCCAAGAAAAAGATCGAAGTCTTCAGATTCGAGGTGTTTCCTCTGATTGGCAAGGGCTTCCAAGATATCAACGCTTTTGGCGGTGGCAATTTCGCTGTTTTTCTCGTGGCACAAAGATCTTACCAAGCGCCACTCCCAAGTTGATCCAAAATAAAGCATGAAACAAGATTTTCCCACTCTGAACCAACCGGGCTGACATCCAGAAGTCAAATGATTTTCTGAAAATAAAACAAAACCTTTTTCAAGCATTCTTAAATCTAGCAGATGTAAGAGTAATGTATGTACCTTGCTAGCTATTTTGTTTCGGATTTGTGCTTTTTTTAAAAAAAAAAACAAGCTAGCATCAACTGGTCAAAATACTTTTCCAATTGATTACATCGCTTCGAGACGAGCGAATCCATAAGGTAATTTTATGTCTTGTAAAACTATAGCTATATTTAGTAAAGCAGAATGGGGCTAAAAATTTTTACTGGATATATCAACCATTATCACGCACCCATTAATTTTCGGGCGATTTCACCGACTATTTTACATCACATGATGGAAAATCACAGGACAAGTATCTCGCCATAACCTCCGTTTGCGTCAATATTTGTCTTCCTATAATTTCCGTTTCCGTTGAAAGCGTACACAATTTTCCTACCTGGTTCAGTTACTTTAAAAGAACAAAAAGAGAATTTGATTTTTCCTTTGCACCGATCCACGTCACTGTAGTCTTCCAGGCTTATGATTGGTCCCATGTTTTCCCTTTTGATCAAATAAATCTTCTTGCAACTTGGAGACGATCTTTTGTCATTAAGGACAACTACATCCAGTGGATAGTTATTGTAGTCAGACAAATCTAGTTTTTTCCTGAAGAAACTTTGTCTTCTGGATGCTTTAGAGTAGACGAAATACAAGGTTTCTCTCAGAAGTCCTCTTGGATGTTTGAGAGTGAAACGGAATTCTTCGGAGTAGAGACTGTGTTCCGAAGGTCTAGAGGAAATTTTGTAATCTTTACCCATGTACGAAGAAACGTAATACGTGGTTTCATCTTAAATGAAAGATAAAAGCAAATTATATTATTAAATAGGTAGCATTATTACAGATTTCGCCCTCCGACGAAGGGCTTACGCTCGAAACGTCAGCTTTTGTAATCATTACGGTGGCCAATTTACCATTTCAACTTTGTTGATATATCCAAATTATTTCGTTACTCCCGCCGACGCGGCCCCAAACAGTTTCTTTCGAAACTATCAGCCTTTATTACAGAATTGTTATCAAAGGGGAATAAAACGCAGTAGAACATTCGAAGAGCAATTATAAGGAGACTTTTATTTTGGCGGGAAGGATAATTATTATTTTTTCAGCATTCAAATAAGCTTTAAAATTCGTATCAAAATCAACAATAAAGCTCCCCACTTTTTTGAATTAGGTTAACAGACAGATGTATTTCAAAATCGGATACAGGCTTCTCAACAAAGATACTCTCTATAGAAAGAAATGGGAGGTCTCGATCTGATTCAAAGATGTCATAAACATCTTTGGATTCATCCTGTTGTTAAAAAATTTCTAGTGATAACTTAAAAAGAGAAAAATATATGTAGACGCCCGTTTTCAAAAACGTTGCAGTTTGAAAATATATATCAAATGAATATTCCTTCTCCGTTCTCATCAAAACGATACACTTTTTTTATGAGAAAAAAGGTATTCATTTTATATAAAGTTTTCGTTGCAACGTTTTCGAAGTATATATGAGAGACAAACCGAAATTTAATAATGGCAGAAATAAAAAACCCACACAGAAAGGAGAAATCCGTGTGCAAATAACCTTGGTAAGCCAAAATCAGCGCAAAGGACCTCGATATAGTTTCACTGGTGTACCTGTTTGCTGGCAAGGTCCTCTTTGAAAAGTGAAGTCGTCCAGGGCTGCATCACCTGAGTCACCGCCTCCTCTGATGCCATCAATAATTATCTTTTAAAGCAAGTAACAAAATAGAGACTGTGACATTAAACGATGCAAAAAGCGGCATTACAAATTTGACTGCTAAATGACAATTAACATGCTTTTTTTTAATAAGTCTGTAATATATGCTGCTCAGTTGTGGTGTGCTCAGCCTCTTTCACGTACTAACCCAACTTTGATATGACATCTCAGCAACTTTGCCTCAATAATATGTAAAATCATTTTCATGCATGAACCTGACACCTAGCTGCGGCTCACCCGATGCGATTGAAGAAGCGGGCTTTAGAAAACATTCTTTGTGACAACAGAAAATAAAGCTCGGATCAAATGTCGAGACATTATGTTACCTGATACGTGAAGCTGTTTTCAATACTTAATTGGCCTTGTATCCAGCGGTCTCCCTGATCCTTCGAACGCAGCCATATTGGTTTTAGCTTTTTTGCAGCCCGCTTTCTTATGTACATAACGACACAGCCCATATCTGAACCAAACATATGATAGAAGAAAGTCATGCATTGCGGTCCCCGCATCCATGGACTTGTAAGCCTCGCTGTGTCTCCAGGCTGGCGAGGACTTGAGGCATCAATATAAATGTACAATCCAGTCCCTTGATTAAAGGAAAGGAAATTACAATGACATTATGCAAATGAATCGTAAAATAAATATCGAACTGTAAAGGGTAAATGCTGACCTCGACAACTTTAGATAACGTTCTTATGTAGTTTAACTTATAATTTTTCCTTTTACTCCACTTTTATCAGCCTAAACGATTATCAAAATGGTTGCAATTGAAAATTGCATTGATCACCATTAATGAATCCTTTTCAAGTAAAAAAGAGCGATCTTATGATAAAAGGGAGTAGTAAATTTGGGGAACATCATGAAATGTTTTATTCATAATATGTCCACTACAAAATGCACATTTTATCTTCCGCTTTTCTTGGTAAAAGGAAAGAAAAAATACCAAAAACCAAGCTACACAACTATAGTTTATCGAAACAAAGTATGACTAATAGACAACTAAAGATTAGCTCGAATCTTTTCCACTGATCTATAGTAATTTAATTTAAGTCATGTATTACCTGATGTATGATCACTGCTGGGTCCGGTGGGATACTTTGGTGCTCTGTCTCCACGAAGAGCCCACTTTGAAATGAAATTTAAATCATTCTTCCAAAAGCAAAAGTTCCTATCAAATTTACAGTTCCCTATGGTATAAGAACATGAATAATGTTACGAAAGATTTCTGCTTCTTTATGCAACGAAATTCCGATACAAACAGAAACACAAAATAACTCCTAATAAAGAGCTTGCAACAATAGATGATACCCTGAAATCGACCTAGGAAGAAACGGTCAGGTTACTAAGAATAAGAAGGCCTTAAAACGGTGATCTGTTCTCGAGACATCACGTAAATATTAGAAGATGCAGCTATTATGTTAATGGATATGTGTAAGCTATAGTGATCATCTATGGCAGATACGAGAGGAAAACCTTGTCGATTGCTGTTAACTTCACTTTCATCGTCGCACAGCCCATCAGTTAATGTGAAGTCATCCAAAGCTATACGACTTGTGAGATTCTTACCGACAGCTGCCTTCAGAATAATCTGTAACAGCAGAAAAAATATATGTAGGGTTTAGTTCTCTTTAGTACCAAGTAATCATGGGTGAAAATTTGTGGACGAAATGCGCTCTAGAAATCCATGTGGTCTAACCGATTCATTGCGACCTGTTAGTGTGCAAGACAGTCGTTTAAGTAGCGATTCTGATGATGGTTCTCTTTAGTCAGAGGTACGAATGGGTGCCAGGGATATCCTGCAATGCCTGCAAAGAACTAGCACACCACTTGAAAGAGAAAAATAAAAACAGACTCTTTCCCATATACCTTAACAAGTTCAAGTTGTAGAAAAGGAATGCTTTTGTAGCTGTGTAGCTGTGTAAATCTATTTTTTTCCTAACGATTTACCTTCACATTTTCGTTTCCTACCTGAAATTCGTCGGTGTAGCCAATACCGATGCTATCTTGTATCCAGCTGTTTCCCTGATCTCCTGTTTTCTGCCACATCAAGTAATACCCTTGCTGCCCCCTGACTTGCAGCAAAATATCAAGTCTTCCAATGTTTCGCCCAGACATGTGATATGAGAATCCAAAACACTTTGGTCCCAGTATAAGTGGACTCAACAAAAGGGTGGACTGATTTTCTTTGGTAGGTTGAGATGAGTAAATGAAGTTTCCTTTGTGTAAAATTATAAAGTAATGTTAGGAAAGTGTTAAGACAGCGCTCAATCCAAAACATGTGCGCCTGCAATTTTGAAAATTTTTCTCAAGAATGAACTGAATGGATGGAAATTAACCACTGCAACAAAGCTCCAGCAGTAATTACCGTTAGCTCTACTTCGCTTTAAAATCCGAATCCAGCGTTGAATCCAATAAGAAAGTAAATTCTTTGGGAAACTTTACTTACCAGCAAAATCTCCGCTCTGTCCAGTTTCGTTGCCCGTTCTCTCCCAGCCAACGTGGCCTGATGACAACAACAAGCTACGCCACCCACAAAAGCTTTTATCAAATGTGCAGTTTACTGGAGTTACAAAAATAAAAGCATAATGAATCTAAGACTTGTCTATTCATTTTTCTATTCCTCTATGTGATAAACGTTTATGCCGTTAACTTTTGTCCACAAAATTAAAGCCCATTACGATAGCGGTAGAAATCAGTGTTACATATTTTGTATTGCCTTTCCAGTTAACCAGACTTCTTTAAACCAACTGATCATTGCAGATTGCGCAAAGGAAGCAAAATAAAACCCACAGTTCAAGTAACTGTTTTCGACGCTCAGGTTAAGTAACCGTTAGACATCAAACACGCTATAACATGAGCCTTTACCTTGGAATATTTCCTCTGGAGGGGTTTTACCATCAGAAACACAACTCAGGTTTTTAATGAAGCTGAGGTCATCAATGGCAATATTTGAGGCATTCGATATACCCGCTACTCCTTCAATTATAACCTGAAATAAATGAAAAGATGCAAATAATTAAAATCGAATTCGTCTCTCAGAACTCGTCTACTTTGTTTTAGTTTTTGTTTCTTTTTTCTAAATTTTAATTAATGAAAACGAAAACCACATTCTACTAAGGGGCATTAATCACTAATTGGAGACCTGGTTTGCTACACTACTCGATAGTTCCATTAAGGTAAAATATATCTATGGGAAGAAGAGGTTTTAAGCTCATGGACCATTTCTAAAGACAGACATTATTTCGTTGGTCCAAAAGAAGGTGGAAATCAGTAATTTTGGAAAAAAAAACCCAACAATAACAATAACAACAACAACAAAAACAAAAACAAAAGCAAAAACAAAAACAAAACAAATATGATGCATTCGAAGTTTTACCACTTATTTGGCGATACAATTTCTAAAGTTCGAAAATGCAGTTGATAGCCGCCAACTACGATAATACAGAGAATTTATCTTAAGAAACCAAGCAAAAAGGAAAAATTGTACCTGGTAAGGTCCACGATAGTTTAAAGTCACACAGCCTTTGATCCAGTCGTTTGATAACTGGTTTCCATAGCGACTCCATACCAGATGTTCCCTGCCGTTGATTTTGACATAAACAGTCAAAGTCTCCACGGTACTACCGTACATGGAATAGAAAAACTCCATCTTCTGAGGGCCTGTCTTCCAGGGACTGTTTAGCCTGGCTTTTTCACTATACTTACGTGGAGATGACGTTTCGATGTTAATGTAAGCGCCATTTCCTTTGGGAAATAAAGGAAAATTTTACTTTTAGCACGTATTTGGCTATCACGGAAGTACTTGTGGATTTCAGCACAGTTTATTTTCGTCCAAAAGGGATTTCAATGGAGTTTATAAATATCATAGTGATATCATCGCTTTAACTTTTATTATAATCTTCATGAGATTAGGTATTTGTTAGATTACCGATTGTACCAAAATGACTTACGCCCAAGTGCTCTCATAATCGCAGATTTCTGTATATTATCGCACTGTAAATCGACATTAGTCATTCCGCTGAAGGTCTTCTATCTCATTGCAAGCAACTTTATTCCTCTGCTGCTCATATGAGTAACTTGTGTCATATCATACTCCGTAATGTTACTTAATGAAAATGTTCCTGAAAACTAAATCAAATCAATGGCGACTTTTCAAACCATTTTTTAACTAAAACACCTAAGGTAGCGGATTAATTCGTGGAATATTTTTGGTGATTAGCTAGCTTTGATATTTACGTTTTACGTCTCCATAATCTGGACTGGGTAGTATACATAGTGCTGATATGAAATAAAGGTAACTTGGTTTTATCGACTGAGTTGATAATGTAAATTGGCCACCGTAAAGAGTTTCAAAACTGACGTTTAAAACGTTAGTGTGTGTGTGTGTGTGTGTGTGTGTGTGTGTGTGTGTGTGCAGAAAGTGGAGCTACGCCATTGGTGGTAACGTGGTAACGAGAAAAACAAGAATAAATTAGTTCAATGAAAAACTTATCTCTATACCTGTTCGATTGTTGGGAGAACTTCCTTGACAAAGGGACCAATCAAAATGATCAGTGTATCTCTCGTTATACCAGCTACAGAATGTGTTCTCATCGAAGGTACACTTTCCTTGAATGAAGAAAGAGACCCTGGATTTAGAAAATAATTCTGGATTTAACGTTTCCAAAAAGAATCATAGAATCATTAACACGCAATTCATCCCAACCAACAGTTTTGAAAAATGAGGCTCTTCATTTTCTTTTAAAAGTCCAAAAAAATTAAATGACTAGAAGACAAACGAGCACGTTTCATGATCAGTGTATGTCGCTACATCTTGTTTACATCGTAACTTATTTCCCCAAGAGTTTGTGGTAAAAGAGGAGGGTCAAATGAACTTTGAGACACCGAAGACAGCTGGTCTTGTCTTAAAACAAGATCGTTCTAAAATATCTGCTGCTTTTAGAATTTTTAATAACTTTGTATTGCAATAATCACCGTTGAAGATAATTTCTATAAGTCTTTGAAGTCGAAGTGACAAAAAGTGAGATCTAAGAAAATTAAGTTTGTTTTTCATATTGCATTTTTGAAGTGGAAAGGTTAGAAACTCTCGATATTCTAAAAGGAAATGGATGGCTCTTTCCTTTGTTTGTTTAAGCTGACTTCAAATTATCCCAAGTATAAACTATCTCGAAAATTCATCAACTTGGTCGTTTAAAACAACAGGGGGAATACATTTTTTTTTTTACGGTAGGTTTGGGAAAAATACAAAGAATGTGTGAGACCGTTCATGTTTGTGCGAAAGTTCCAAAACCAGACATACTGAGTTATCAAAGAGAAATGGATAAAAACAGAAGTATAGCAAATAAGCCTAAAAATGAATCACTTTAAGGGAGCAAGAGTTATTCTAACTTATCTTACCTTTAAGGTATTCAAATGCGCAGCCTTTTATGACAAGAAAGACAATTGCAAGCTGAAAAAACTCAACGAGAAATTGCCTAGACCGAAGAAATAGCTCCATTTCTGGGCGGTCGATGCACTCTCTGGAAGAGAGGCCTAGATCCAATGGAGCAGTCTCAAGAGTTGTAGGATATTTGATGGGCAACAATTTTCGATAACCAATGCGTCCGGATAGCAGAGAGTTTCTCTAAATGCGAAGGTTATAGAGACCCTCTGAAACCAATACCCTAACAAAGCAAAATGCAGAGAGGATACGTGAGTCAGCAGAGTAGCGGACAGACAAAGATGAGATGCTGTGAATGATAAATAAGGGGGAGGGTTGGGCTAAGTGTCAGCCTGTCTCAAACTTTGAGCGCTATTAACCGCGGTGCCTTCCTTTAATTAGACGTGGGTGGGCAATCACCGCCATTTGGATTCACTAAGGTGTCAAAAAGAAAACCATAATTAAAATAACCTGCCCAGAGGCGTTGATCACTGGAACACCATCGTGGATGTCTGTTGACTAGGAACTGTCTTCTACAAGCCGTAAGGAGGGCGAATGATCGAGGTTTCAGGTGCTAATAGTTTAGTTGGATGACTGAGAGCACTTGACTACACATCAAGAGACACATTAGAGTTGTGAAATTAAAATTATAAATTTCAAACCAGGCTGGCTGTATATAATTGAAATGTAAGCAGCTGCTTGTTCAAGTGACAAACGAGTCACGATTAATCTCCTGGCATTTGTATGGGAAAGTATCAATTTCTTTTGCAAGAGCGAGAATCGTATGTTACGCAACATTTTGCGGTTAATAATTTGAGTCTCAGAAAGTATCGATTGATAACTCTTTAGTTTTTTAATGTATCCTTTCATAAATATATGAGATGTATTCCAAAAACAAAAACAAATTTAAAATTAAAGCACGCCGCCATGATCATTTGAATTTAACATTTCCTGTTAAAACGTCTTCGCTTTTCATTCTTCCTTATTTATGTAGATTATTGAGCATTTTTCTCCCAGAATTTCTCAATTTACTAGCAGAGAGCACTCTTAAAGGATTCGCACTTTAGTTCAATTGCCTGGAAGAACAGAGAAAAAAGCTCGCTTGCGCAATTCGTTCTCTGTTATTGGCACTATAGGCCAAGTGAACTTATAAAGGTATCAGGTGCACTACTGCAATAAAGAAGGGAGGAAGGGAAAGCCATACTCATTTAACAAGAAACGGACACCAACAGGAACTACCAGCAGAAACCGTGAAATATACGGAAGCAACGTCGTCACGGCTTTCACTTTGCAAGAAATGATTCAAAATTTGTCAGCTCGTCATCTTGCAATCAATATTTTTATCTTCTCCGCCTGTTACCAGTTAACTTACTTGGAAATCCTTGCCTTTTCTGTGTTTCCTATCTTTCGAAGCTAACGCAGTTTCGCAACATGAAAAATTTATCTTTAAATATTATGACGGAGCTGTTCTGTAAATAACGCACATATTTATAACCAAGCAACGCGCCTGGTAGTAATACCTCGAAAAGCGAAAGACTGACAAACCAGAAATTTAGCAGTATCAGGCGATTTTAAACAAAACAAAACACAACAACAAACTAATCCACTGAAAAAAAAGTAAAGAAAGAAAATGGGAAATAAAATAAGAAAGAGAGATCATAAGGTTAGGTTAAAACTCCGACACCAAGTAGTAATATTGTTTTCTTTCCGAAAAAAAAGGGATATTTTCTGTTTGAAAGTAGCAGATTGATAGAGCAATATTGCAGTTCCCTCAAGAAAAAAGCTTAAAAGGAAATAAAAAATCCGCCGAATGACTTTCTTTATTTCCTCTTTTTCCTTTTTCTTTTCTTTTCTTTTCTTTTTTTTTTTCTATTTTTTTTTGTTTTTTGAGTCTGTCACGATTTAATCGGCTGCGCTGCGATGTAGCGAGTCCGTTTTAAACTGTAGATATCTAAATCCCTCTTTCACATTAAAGCTTATACGACTAGCTATCAAACTATACCAAAAATTTTGAATAAACAATTAATTATCGAATTTTTTACGACTTCTAAATGCGAGCGCCCGAATTACCATTTAATAGCTACAAGTCAAAGGGAATTTGTTCGATTGCTCTCAAATTTTGATAGTACCTAGCTTTACACATAAACAGCAAAAATGTGTCTCCGAATTTTTTATTTCTAAATCCTTTTTTTTTTAAGAGCGATTTTTGCACGATCACTCCACATTTTTTCAATCCTATTTCAAAAATGTTCTCTAACTTTTCACTGAAATTGAATATGGCAAATCGCAGACACATTTTTTAAGCGCTTTGGCCCCGGAAACGGAGGAACACATTAAATAAACGGAAAACAAAATTCGCTTTGACATGTAACATTCAAAAAGGGATTCCGGCGCTCGCATTTAGAAGTCGTGAAAAATTCGACAACTCATTTTTTTTAAAAATATTTGGTATAGTCTGAGAGCCAGTCCTATGAGCTTTAATTTGATATGGGGTTTAGATATATACAGTTTAAACTGGACGCGCTACATCGCTTGCACGCGAGACACCCCTGAAGGTGCACGGTAACCTTAAAAGTCGCTTTTGGGAGCACGATCATATATCCTGTTCCATAGCCATGCGATCTAAGCCAATATAACCTATTTGAATATGCTAAATTTTTGCCAATAATCCTATCAAGTAAACCAAATATACTCCAGAAGAGTATGACCCTTACCTTAGAGGGAATTTTATTCAGTCAGTTTAATCTTGAAATTCAGTGCACGCATCGACGGTTTAGCTTTGTTCCAAGTGCTTGGCATCAGGCAAGCACAAGTGTAGCCGAAAAGCACCCACCTGCCTTTATTAATGGTATTGGGTTGAGTGCTAATGTGTTATTTGGAGAGGGAAAATTTTAAGATTTTCTTTGAGTGCTAAAAGATTTTGATGATTGACAGGAGTCCAATTAATCAAGAACTGGATGATGTTTGAACAAGGCTTTCCAAAAATAAAATTTCTTTATCTAAATATATTCATATGAATAAGAAAATAGGTGAATTTATAGGAAAAAATATGCTATAAGAAACGTAGTTTGAAGAGGAAAAAAAAACAAAAAAAAACGCAAGTTAAAACTTATTAGAGCGAAGTATTTACAAAAAGAAACTGATTAAAAGAAGCGAGAAATCTATGCGCCTAAACTTGTTGGGGTTACTCCGATATTGCATTTTGCTAGCAGCGAACTTTTTAAGAGGTGTCATTTCGAGTTAGCAATATAAAAAATTACAGATAATTGTTCGCATGAGGCATTACTTAGACATTGAATATAATGAAAGACTTTACCATTGGCTACTCGACCGTGAGTATGACTAAGCAGAAGTAGTTCATCGATTTACTGTATTGATCTTACTGCATTGAAATACATTATAAAAGTATACGTAAACAACCACGATTTCTCCTGCTTCTACACGTAAAACATAATGTCTTTGCTGCACGTTGTATACAGACTATTTTGCAAAATTTTCCACGAGGGCCGCCAACAATATCATTAAGGCGACCGTGTAATCAAGATGGAAGTGATTCTGCTCTTACTGAACAAACATAATGAGTTCAAATCATTAATCATTATATTATTAAAAGACGGAAAGGATCTTTTTAAAGAGGCATTTCCGCCCGTAGAGTTCATAATAAAGGCGCTCATCGAAGTCGGTTGTCTTTACGATTGTTTTACAATTTTTTTCGACTGAGATATTTTACAGATGTTCAGAAAAAGAACAGTGCGCATGAGAATGCGAATTTTACGTTCGAGCGTTTTATATCAACACAAGGCTTACTAATATCAGTACTATCATACTTATTAATGATAATAATTATTAGTAGTGGAAACTAAAACAGTGGATAGCGTTGAAGGCGCGCTCTGATTGGCTAGTCAAGCTCCGAATGTCTGCTATTTACCTCGGCGCAACTCGGGAAAAAATAACGTTTCGGTTTGCATCCGTGACAAGCGAAGAAATCTCTCAAATTAACGACGAAGCAGTCCCTGAAAACACTAAGAAAGCGACTAAATTTGGTTTGGCCGTGTTTAAAGGTAATGGTTTGAGTTTTTAACCCGGAGTTTATCGATAAAAACCAATGAGAAATCTCTTAAATTAACGACGAAGCAGTCCCTGAAAATACAAAGAAAGCGACTAAATTTGGTTTGGCCGTGTTTAAAGGTAATGGTTTGAGTTTTTAACCCGGAGTTTATCGATAAAAACCAATGAGAAAGGTTTTAAGTATGATGCACGATCCTTCGCAGTAGATAGCGCTATTTATGCAATAGCGAAAATCAGACCTGAAAAAATCAGGCCTGTACGGGATTCGAACCACTGACCTCTGCGATACTAGTGCAGCGCTCTACCAATTGAGCTAACAAGCCAACTGGGAGCAGGCCGTTAAGTTGATTCGTAATAAACCCGTGATGATAAATCAGATACAATGAATATATGAAGTTCATATATTTTGAACTGCGGTATTAAATACGTATGATGCACGATCCTTCGCAGTAGATAGCGCTATTTATGCAATAGCGAAAATCAGACCTGAAAAAAATCAGGCCTGTACGGGATTCGAACCACTGACCTCTGCGATACTAGTGCAGCGCTCTACCAATTGAGCTAACAAGCCAACTGGGAGCAGGCCGTTAAGTTGATTCGTAATAAACCCGTGATGATAAATCAGATACAATGAATATATGAAGTTCATATATTTTGAACTGCGGTATTAAATACGTATGATGCACGATCCTTCGCAGTAGATAGCGCTATTTATGCAATAGCGAAAATCAGACCTGAAAAAATCAGGCCTGTACGGGATTCGAACCACTGACCTCTGCGATACTAGTGCAGCGCTCTACCAATTGAGCTAACAAGCCAACTGGGAGCAGGCCGTTAAGTTGATTCGTAATAAACCCGTGATGATAAATCAGATACAATGAATATATGAAGTTCATATATTTTGAACTGCGGTATTAAATACGTATGATGCACGATCCTTCGCAGTAGATAGCGCTATTTATGCAATAGCGAAAATCAGACCTGAAAAAANTGTCACATGTGACAGAAGACACGTTGTGAAAACATTCTTCATCTAAGTGGAACAGATTATTGAAGCTAAGGTCACTGTTACAGAGAAAACACATAAGTTATTAAATTGACTTCTGGATCCAGGTTTTAAAATTCGGCCAAAGAAACCTAGAGGATCCTACCCTAACTGTGTTCTCCATGCATACATTATAAATTCTGCAGATACATGGATGACATTATGAATACAGTATTTTTGTCTTAGTGTAACCTAGAATATTGTAAAGAATCAGAAGGTTGTTTAATGTAATGTTTTTGTTGATATCTTAAACGTTCTGCACATTTTAAGCAGATACCTAGCACTGCCACTTACAAACACAGAGATCATGGCCTTCAACTCACATATACTCTAGTCTTGTAAGGTCTGAAAATTCCCTCTCGTGAAGTTGCGAGATCCAATTATTGCGTAAAAACCTGTTCGATATGTCAGTGTTAGTGATGCATTAACTTGAAAGGAAAAAAAAATTCAGGCCTCATAAAAAAGCAACTAAAGTTGAACCAAAATAACAAAACAAGGAAACCTTCTTAACAGACTACAATTCACAAAGAATGATTGATAAGGGAGGAAAATCCTTGGAATAATCCTCTTGACCAGAATCATTAATAAACAGCCTAATGTGTGCATGTAAATACATGTACAAGTACTGATTTAAGGCATGACGTTTACACCTTCCCCTTTTCCGCTAGGCCTCAAATAAACACAACAGAAAAACTGAATATGTATATTCTTTTTGCATTAAAATCCACTTCAGAACTCAAACAGCTGAAAAGGAAAAAAAGGCGAGATTGAGTTCAATTATGCCATTTGACGGTTGCCGTAGGCTTCGTGCTAACTCCCTCCGTGCATGCAAGCAGACTGCCTGGTTATTAACATAATGGTTGTTATTAACATAATGAGAAGTGATAATGATGATAATTAAGAAAATGGTTAACCATACACTGCTCCAGTATTTGAAGGAAGAGAGCTTGGTACAGCCAGCAGCTTTTTGCCAATAAGCAGAATCCTCTTGTCGTATACTTCACCAAACTCCTTACATTCGCAGCTTGATGGACAGTCTAAAAAGGATTTCCGAACTTAGTTTAATATCTACCATCATCTTTCAGGGATTGCATGCTTTGGAAAGTAAA